AATCAACCAAGCCTCTCCTTTGTTCTGCGATTGAATGTCTCGCGAACGGTAGTAAACTATGGGTCAAGTTCTTAGTCCCATGCTTAATTCATGATTCAACAAATTGTTGACTGTTATGCAGCTCGCTTCGTCCATGCATCTATGACAGTAGCCAGATGGCGACTCCTGTGTCTATATATGTTGTCACAATATATAAGCTACTATTACTGCCCATGTAACTAACGGTATTGTTTTATTACGTGACAGTTATAAGCCCAGCTACTACCTGCTATACTATAATAGTATATATGTTAATTTAAGTGCAATAACTAGCTGTAGATCTTAAGCACCGTAGGTTTGATTCCTATTAGGGTCCCCTGGTTAAAAATCCTACTAAACTCTATATGGATCTTCACCACCTATGATTGGCAAGATGCACCTAACTAGGTTTTCATCAAAAGTGTGTTCAGATCTGACTTTCTAGGTTAAATCTGGGGGGTGTGTTATAATGTGCGTCGAGATATGAACATGTAACTTTGAACTCAACTCGTCCCATCCTTTTGGCGTAACCCCACTTTATTTAAGCTAAAGTTGCGGTTCCACCAATGTGGAATGGGTCGTGGCGCGTGCCACATCAGAACACGATTTTTGTCTGAGTCAACCTCAAATTTGACCGCGAAGTCCATTTACCAACACGTTGGTATCACCCCGCCGGCCGCGGCAGCTACGGTCCATGAGCCATCAAAAATGGAAGAGCTTCTTATTAAACCTTCCGGTCTCTTCTGGCAGAACGATTTTATCACTGCGGAGCATGAAGAGAAGCTAATCCACATTTTCCGGCACGAGCTCACGTGGCCGGATCGCGCCGGCCGACTGTCGTTGCACTATGGCTACACCTTCGACTACAAGACGTTCGGCGTAGATCCGGACATCCCATTCACACCGTTTCCGGATTGGCTTGTTCCTTTAATTCCCACAGGGGAGAGCAGGCCGCCGGACCAGGTCTGCCTCCAGTACTATCCTCCTGGAGCCGGTATACCGCCACACGTCGACACGCATTCAGCATATGACCAGTTGTACGCGCTGTCTTTGGGATCGCCGGTACTGATGCAGTTCATGCGACCTGCGGCAAATGAGAGCGAGGAAGGAGACATGGCGGAGGTTGACCTCACGCCGAGGAGCATGCTGCAAATGTCGGGTGACGCGAGGCTGCATTGGAAGCACGGGATCAGAAAACGCAAGACAGATACTCTGCCAGACGGTACGGTGCGTAGGAGGAGTGATCGATGGAGTATCACTTATCGATGGATTAGAGAGCCGGCGATTTGCGAATGTGCCGACATGAAGTTGTGCGATACGGCGCAAAGAAGATTAGGGATCGAGAAGGAATACCGGTGGAAAAAGGATGACGGGGATGATACGACCGAAAGAGCAGATCAGACAGCTGAGAAAACAAAGGAATGATCTTCCAATGTCTTCCGTTTCGTGACGTCTGGGATTATACCAGTCAGGTGGCAAGAAGGAACCCTCACGCATCGTGCTCGCTCCGATAAGGAGCATCCCGAACCTTGGTATCGTCCCGAGAATAGAATCCCTACTTCACCCAGTAGGTCTCCGCAGATGCTATGCTTCATGCACGACTGGTCGAAGGTTTCACCACGCCACCCCTTAACTATCATGTGTTTGAACGATCGAAAGGACTCGGATCATGTCATGAACTCCATGCCGCAATAAAATCATTTGCTTGACTCAAATATGACCTCTGTACCAACTAGAAGGCTTCCAAGTGTGAGATCCGTACTGTTGGGACTCGTGATTCATTATAAGCTCAGGGAGTGTCATGAGCATTACGAATCTGGATCCCTTGGAGGAAAATTCATGGGTCATTTCTACCCGGGGCTTATTAGTCAGGCTGGCTGCGCTAAAAACCCCCGAGATATATACACGAGTGATGCGAGTTATAAGTGAAACACCACATGATATGACACCTGACAGACCACTGACAGGTGCTGTGTGAAGCTGTCGTGACAATGTACCTATGCTGAAACGTAAATTGCTGCTCTTAACAATTGACAACGTCGTTTTTACGCTAGAAGTATATCAGCATAGTGAAAGTATAGATTCATTATCCACCAAACTTTACTTCTTCTGCAAGATGGAGCTTTTGTGTCAGATCTATGCCTACACCGGTACTTTACCATGACATAATGTTACAAGGTCCGATGTGGTATGATCTACATATGGTATAAAGTAAAGTAAATAAATAAAACGTCGCGGGGAATGGCAAAGGAAGCTCTGGTTGGATAGGCATGCTTCCGATTTGTGATAGCTGGACAGAGCGCGTTGATATTGACATTTCGGAGCCTATGTTGGTGGGGATGTTCGGCAATGGGAACTTGGATTTGCCTAGCTTCAAAGTTCTTCATTTGGATTTATGTCAAGGCAGGGTCAAACCCTACTATTAGCAGTCAGGACGAACTGTCAAAAGTAGCCCAAAGCGATACTCCACGGACAAGAATCCGATGATAGCTAGGTCCTCTAGGTATAACTATCAAAATTTCTCCACAGAAATTGTGTTTCTTGGAATTGTACGCCTCTAGAGAAGTAGCAGCAGTTCGAACGAGTCTGTCCCATCCGATACTTATGTGCAAGAGAGTTACCTCGATATCTTCAATAGCAAAGAATGTGCCGTCGTCTTGCAACACTGCGAGATAATTATGCACTACTGCTATATGAAATATTTACCGAAGAGGCTAGTGTGTATAACACGTGTAGGTTGTATTTGAAATTGCCTTAAAATCACTTCAAACTCATCAGCAGGGCATTCATTTGGTGCGACCAACTTAATCCAGTACCCAATTGTAGCTGACGCATGCACCCAAGCCAATGTCTGAAAGAACTCCTATTTTATGCACAGAAGTGAAAGTCTTGTCTCAACTTCTGGTTCAGCATAAGATGCATAATATGTATAATTCTATCCCAATGCCATGCAAATGCTTCCGCTTTAAATTGACCAAATATCAGAGGCACGACAGGTGGACAAGGTGCTTTTTGCCGTAGATCCTGGTTCCGTTCAGCTTCTTGGAATCAGAACAACCTTCCAATGCCCAGTGGCAAATTGCATAGTGATAAACTGGCGGAAGTCAATGTCTTGGCCGGGAACCTCACAGACGTTGAATCTTTGGAGGACGTTGGCGGCAACCATTCTCATTTCAGCCCAGGCAAAGCTAGTCCCACGTCAGCACGTTGTTTGAAGCTTTGGATGAAGTATGACTCACTTGATACCGATACAAGAATGCTTGCCTCCTGAGAAAGGATAGTACGCATCCATACTGCACGACTGGTCAGTTCTGAACAAACAAACTGTCATAGCGAGGTAACTTACTCCGGTGCCGGAGCGCCGTCTCGCTTGTCTTCCGAAAGCCATCTCTCTGGCCAGAATCGTTCGGCCTGGGGCCAATACTTTTCATTCCGGTGCAAATCTCGGTATGAAGCCGAAACAACTGTGTGCGGAGGGAGATTGTAGCCGCACAGCTCAACCCATTGATTGCCTGTTCGGCGACCCATCTCCGAAGCGATGGGATGAAGACGAAGGTTTTCTTTAATACATGCCTCAAGGTATTCGTATTCTTTCTCTCCGCGTACTGCTTTGCTTGATACAATTTCGTCGTTAAAGCCCTTGGCAGGGAGGGAAGCCATAAGCTTGGCACGGACGTCGGGATTGCGAGCAAGTTCGAGGAAGAGGCAACCAATAGTACCAGATGTAGTTTCAGAACCGGCAAGGAGGATTTCGGCCATCTGGTCAACGATGTCGCGGGTGGACATAGCGGTGCCGGTGTCAGGCTTCTTTCCCTCTTCAATAAGATGTTGGAGGAGGTCTCGTCTTTCGACATCTGGAGATAGCTTGCGTCGTTGAACTACGGCGTTGATAGCTGTAATCATCTCCGCGGGCCAGTCAAACTGTATGTCTATGCCTAACGACCGGAAGAATTTTTTGACGTAAACGGTCTGTAATATCTTGCTAGATACGATAATTCAATATATTGGAAACGGGCGTACCTGGTAACGTTTGCTGAGGCCGTCAAAGATGGAACGTGGGATGGAATTCCAAATCTTCTCATCCACACCATCCTCAATCATCCTGTTTGGATTGGTCTGGCCAAACCCCTTTCCGAAAGAGCACTCTCCCATGCTTTTATGTCGTTAGAAAGATTCCTCTTGTAACTAAAAGAGCCCAGCTTGACATACATGTCTAAAGCAACATTGTGAAGGTCGTCCATCAGATCAGCCTCAATACCTTGCTTCGCATAGTACACAGGGTCCTCGTTCATTTGCGTCTGGTACTTGTTGAGTAGATCTCGGACAGTAGACGTGAAGAACTGTTCGAGATTGTCGATGTAGTTGACGGTAAAAGCTGGAGACAAGAAGCGCTTGAGACGCTTGTGGGGCTCTGAGCGGCTTTGAGAGAATGGCATTAGGCTTGCTTTCCAAGGCACGAAGGGGAAAGGACATACATCTCGCCGAACAAGCCTGGGCTAAACTTATCTCGAGAGATCTCGGCATACATGGCAACTTTGGGAAGATCGGTCTTCACCAAGATCTCCTTCATAGCCTCCTTGTCGGAAACCCAAACCTGGCGAGGCCCCAGACGAACAATCGACCCATACTTCTCATGGCTTTTCTCTACTAACTTCCAGATTGTACCAGTGGAAAAGAGATATCGCAAGTGTAGCGTTGTAAAAGGGGCATACCAAGGTCCAGGTATTTGTTTGAGGGGGGATTTGAGGGCTGTAATCTTCTGCTTGATTTGAAGCCCAGCAAGAGCGATAACTAAGCAATAGATGGCGATGATATAACTCGAAACCATAATGACTGATAGTCTCTGAATGACTTGAAAAATGAATCTGTCAAGTAATAATACGATGGATCGTTGATGCAAAGATGGACTACCGGAACAGCGAAGGTGAAGAAAATTTTATACTTGTCCTGGAATAGTGAACGAGAACTTTCGATAACAGTGACTCTCAATGCCAGTGACTTTCGAAACCGATATGCCTATCGCTATAGGGTTACTTTTGCAATGATAATACACGGTTCGTCCCATATTATTTTGGGCCAGGAGTGCTCAGCGGACAACTTGCGCGACAATCCATGCCAAAACTATAATCTTCACTGAAAAGTCAAAATGATATGTCAGTTAGTCACACGACTCGGTAGAGTAGCAACATATATTACCGGCAGGCAGGCACGCAACCCACTAGAGTAGCATTGCGCTGTCTCAGTAAGTGCTGGGTGATGTTGAAGTACGCATACTCAGATATATTGAATCCTGGATTCATTGAGTGCGTATCTTTCGTGTTTATGTTTCTCTATGGCTGACTTTCCCCTGTGATGTCTGTTGCCTTAGGAGCAGAATGCACGTGTTATCGGATTTCCCTCATTCCAGGTGGGGGAATCCATCCCGGATATGTTGCCGGCTTATGATTGGTATTGCCCATCTTGGCCCATTTTGCCCACGCTTCAATAGGTGGCCCCATTTTCCCTACGACGGGGTAGAGCTAATGCATTATACAGCATTAAGTTTAAATATCTGACAGTTGCACATTACTTATATTTATTAAAGTTTTGCCTATACCATAAGTACTAGTAATCTCTTTCTTTACAAAGAGGTATATCGCAGTCTAAGCAGTCCTGCCAACTCTTTTATTGCCGTGTATGTAGCAATATTACTCGATATGATTATATTGATCTAGGATACAGTCGTCTAGTCAGCCATCTAGTCAGGCAATAGCAAGGTCCTCTAGCAAGATCTCTGTGTAAGTAGTGTGCTGTCATGTATCTCCGAAAGCGAGCGAGGGATAAAAGTGAGTGGGGGTCCGAGACAGGAAATAGGACTACTATCGGTTGAAAATGACGCGCGGTTTCAACTTGGATGAGGTTATTTGTTGAAGTACGTATATACGACAATAATCCTTGTTCAATCGATTGATGCTGTGGTGTGTATCTCTATGGCTGGCTTGCCCCTGTGATGCCTGTTCGAATTTCCCTCATTTTGGGCAAGGAAATCTGTCACGATAACCTCATGTATTTCCACCTTCTGTAACAGCCCTGTCAGGTGCTGTTGCACGTGCTGTTTCACATTCACTTGCCTATATATAGGACATCACTTTCGTTACTTCTACTTACTTAGAATTAAGCTTTTTAGACCTGAATTCCCATATGCCCTGCTGTGTGCTCTAACTCGTGACAAAATCCATCCCGGATATGTTGCCTACTTACCCATCTGTATTGCCCATTTTGAAAATGGAAAGAGAACGAGGCAAAAAAGACGGAACCCTCCCTCGTCCTGTGACGACGAACGGGACACGCTTCCCAAATGATCTTGTTCATCGTGACAGTTGCTCGACAATACACGAGAGCAGCGTGCACGTCCATGGGAATGAATAGTGCAGTTTCATAATTTCTCAACCTGAGCCAGCCGTATATTCTAAAACCTTCTATCTTTGTCTATAATTCCATGCAGGTATTGCTCTCCACCCGAACCCGGGCTCTACGATTTCTGTGTCTAACAATGTATCCTTGCCTCTTACTCTGAATGCATCCGTCTGGAATTATTTTACCTAGTTGCCGAGACAGCGTTTATTTGGCCCATCTCATAGCACCTGGGCAGTTGGGGTCTTGCTCCACATACTTCAGAGAGCCGAAGACAGACCACAACTGGCCTAGGAAGCTGCGGTCGTCGCGGTGGTAAAGGTCACCCAGAAGAGGCTTGATTGACTCAGTAGCTTCATCGGCCTTGTAGAAAGGGATACGACTGCGTAATGTCAGTGGACCGTTGAGGCGAAGAGATTGAAAGGCGGTGGACTTACGGGAAGAGGTGGTGAACAACGTGCTTCTCAATGATACCGTGGAACAGATGCTTGCCGATGAAGCCGAATTCGCGGTCAATGGTAGCAAGGGCACCCTTGACAAAAGTCCAGCCCTCCTCAGTGTAATGAGGAACTTCTGGATGGTTGTGGTGCAGGTAGGTGATAGCAACTAAGACAATTGTTAGCAGCCTGATGGTCACGGGATATGAATCTCAAATAAAGACTTCAGGGGTTCAAGATAAGGTTAAAGGGATGGACGTACCAAGCCAGTGGTGGACCCAGAAGTAGGGGACCGCGTAGAGGAGCATAACGGTAGAGACGTCAAGAACCTGTGCGGCCTTGTACAGGGCGGAAAAGGTAATAGCCAAACCAATGTCGGAGATGGCAATGAAGATAGCCTCATTGGGACGGAAGACAGCGCTGGTAGGGCCAAAGTGGCTGACGCCGAACCAACGCCCAATGCCGCTCACTTCGCGTTGCAAGCTACCCTTACCAGCAGTGGCATTGAAGAAGAGATATGCCTGCCATCCGAAGAGTTGGTGGGCGATGAGGGTGATGAGCTGGGTTATGGGCGTGTCCTCAAAGAGCTCATGGAGATCGATGCTGCCGAACAAGGGCTTGCTAGAGGTCTTAGGCTGTGTAGGAGGGACGAAAGCCATGTCCTTCTTCATGTGACCAGTGAAGCGGTGGTGACGATGGTGAGAGAACTTCCACGAGAAGTAGGGAACCAAGAGGAAAGAGTGGAGAACCCAGCCAACGCAGTCGTTCAGCTTGGTGTTCTTGGAGAAGGCGCCATGACCGCACTCGTGGCCCAGAATCCAAACACCGGTGCAGATGAGACCCTGGACGAAGCCGTAGACCATCCAGGCCGTAGCACGGTAGATGGGGTCCTGAATGGCGGGAATGTAGGTAAGAGCAGCCCAGACGAGGCCGGAAACCATGGTGAGGTCACGGAAGACATAGTAGAACGATGTCACAAGCGAGGGCTCAAAGCAATGAGCCGGAATGGCGTCCCTAATGGTCTGAATGTCAGGGAAGACAGGCTCATTGCTCTTCTGTGAGAGCATTAGTATCTCGATCGCCGATCGATGGCGTAGCATTGGAAATCATTTGCAGACTAACCTGGGGCTTCTCGACCACTACAGTGGCCGAGGTACGTTGACGAGCTGCCATTGTTTTGTGCCGTTCGCAGTTTGTTCGGAGTTTGCTTGTGGAACGATGCAAGCTGCGCTGTGTTTAGGACTCGCGTTCTTTAAATCGCCGGATGTATATGAGATGAATAGAGAAACGATGGAAGCTCTTTAGAAACGGCGGGATGAAGGAAGGAAAAGAGGAATGGGCAAGAAGAGAATGAAACTGACAGGAAACAGAGAAAAGGGTGAAATTTTCTCCACTTGCCTGAGGTTAGGGGAGGGGAGAGACGGTTCAGATGTCGGGAAAAGACTGAGCAAGGACGGCGAGATTTGGATAGCAGACCGCCAACGAGAGAAATGTGTCTTCTCGTCCCCTTTTTTAGCAGCGGAGACATTAAAGGTGGACCGGAAAGCCCACATTGAGGACGATCCTTGAAATAGGGGTCCAAAACAGCCTGCCTGGGTTCACCTCGCCCACATGCGGTGGTATTGGCACACACTGGCAACAAAGCGGCAGAAATTCTACAGGCGCAATGTGCCAGTGTTTGGCATTGCTCAAGGTTGCCTCAAGACGAGACTCGTCACCAGGTCTAACCTTGTGCTTTGATCAAGAACAACACAGAATTTCCAGGCTTTAAGCCTTTGGCAACGCGACTCATGACTCGATAGCCGGCCACTTAGGGCTATGCAGTCAACTGTCCACGCAGAGCCATCGCTGAAGAATGTCTCACGCTCCATTACGCACCGTGCCGGCAGGGCGGTCCCTCACGACCAAGGCAATTGCAAGAGGCAGCCCACAATCTCGGGCGGTGAGTGAAATCAGGGTCTAATGTTGAGAAACGCGGAGCACAAGAACCTCAAAGTACCGTCGCTGAGGAAATCAAAAAAAGCACGGCCATATTTACCTGATGAGGGTGTGAAACTTTGGCCTGATACCATAGTAGTACTAAGTAGTACCTCGCAACGAAAGTCGCAGGGCGTCCCTGAGCAGGTTTCATCGCTTAAAATGATCTAAGCTGAATATAGTCTAGTAGAAGAAGATTTCCAAGGGTGCGGTTCCACGAACGGGTAAGAAAAAGGCTTGGAAAGTCCACTCAAAGACTCTCAACCCCAACACTTTTGCCCCTTGTTCGCTGTGACGAATTCGGAAATGGAACCCACATTGTGTTTGAGCTTCAGCCTGGTCTAACATTGCTTCCAGGGCGGCGCTGGGCACCGCGAGGCCCTGAAGATGAAGACTCCTCTGTTGATGCAATTTGGATAAACTCAATTGGTTGGAGCCTTCGGCATTTCTCCAGCTTCTCCAATCATCCCCCCCAATTGCTCAAAACAAGGACCGTGCATGTTACGACACGTGCATGTTACAGCCCACATGGGGAAGATAATAGGGAAGGCGGTCAGAGTCATAAGTCTCAATATGCGCCTTTATCCCTCTCCCGCCCGCATCAGCCCGAACGTGAGTCGGCTGGGCGATAGGCGATAATGCTAGCATCTCAGCCACCATCTGTCATGATGTGTCATTCTATCCCTTAGGGTGGATTCGGATCGCCAAGTATACATGTCCCTAACGGTTTCGTGCACGTCCTACCGGATCGCGCGTTTACCTAGTGCAGTACCGTACTCCGTATCCTCTCATCAAACGCGAAGTCCGCACGAGCCATGCGCTAGACCCCTTATGAAAGGCGGTCAACCAACCTACACACACCCACCTATGTAACCCTAACCCTTGCCACCCAACTTGCTGCTGACGTAAATGACTCCCTGCATTTGCTACATCTAGATCCCTGTTTCTGCCAGCCCGCTTACCCCTTTCCAGCAGCCTGTGGCCTGTGCGGACTTCGTGTTTGATGAGAGGATACGGTATACCTAGACTACATGGTCGGAGTTTCGACGCAGGTTCTAGCAATGATCTAGTCGCTCCAAGACGCGGGCTTCCCGGGCCGCCCTTTTTCTCCGCCCTTGCACAATTGCACAATTAATTAATTAATATGCCTCGCTTTTAGCAGCTTAATGCTTGATTGGACACGAATCGCCGCAACGCAATGCTGCAACCATGGGCAAGGCCTATCAGCTTGAATGCTACCTTCTCGGGGCCGGTGCAATGACGACAACTCCGGAAGTGACCAGAAGAGGTACCCATAACCCAAGCGGAATATTGTACAGATTGTCCGTTTGTTATATGTAGAGGGAAGAATTCCCCGTCGTCCTTCTCCGTGTTGTCAGTCACCGACTCTTAGCATCTCTCGAGTCTGATTATTGAGCTTGACTACAAGGCACTTGGGGAACCATATCAACTCGACAACAATATGACTGTTCGTAAACAGAACGAAATCACCTCCGGTGGTTTGGCGGGTTTGATTGAATTCGTCAAGTCAAACTCGCCCTACTATGCCAAGTATTGGGAGCCGTGTTGGGCTCAGAAGGGCAATGTGGTCTCCTTGACGGATCTGCCTGTGGTTGATCATAAATCCTTCTGGGAGGCAAACACCTGCCTTGACAGCAAAGTGATAACCTCGAAGCAGAAGGATGGCATCGTGTTCAAGACAGGGGGTGAGTGGGTTTCGATTGAGAACAGGGTATTCGACTGACACGCGACACCAGGTACCACCGCGCACCCAAAGGTGTCATTCTACAGCCAGAAAGAACTTCATGGACTCTCACTCCAACTTGCAGATTGCCTGTCCCGTTGTGGAGTTGTCCAAGGAGACACGGTAGCCAACCTCTTTTACGCTGGCGACCTTTACGGAAGTTTTCTGTTGCACATCCTATCCGTGTATCACCTGTCAAATGGTGCTATCCAGCTTCCGATAGCTGGCCATGTTACCTTGGAATCCATGGAGAAACATATCATTGAGTTCCAAGCTACCGTCGTTCTCGCCACGGCTACAACCATGTCGCAATTATCAGAGCGCAGCCTCAATGCCGGACGGACCCACCCATACGTCCGCTTGCTCCTGTTCTCCGGGGAAGCGTTTTATGACGACCAGGCTGGCCTGCTGAAGGCCGCCTTTCCAAATGCGACTATCAGGTCTGTGGTTTACGGATCAATGGATTGCGGAATCATCGGCCTGCCGCCAAAGGAGGATCACTACAACCACGATCCCCGTTTACACCAGGTTAACAGCCCAAACATCGTTGTTGAAATTCTCAACGACGATGGCCAGCCTATAAACGAACCAGGTGAGGTAGGGAGCCTGGTAGCGACAAATATGGAGCGCCGGCTGATGCCCATCATTCGCTACCCGTCTGGAGACCGGGCCGCGTGGGTTGATCCGTCTTTGGGTCTTTTCCGCATCCTTGGAAGAGATCACACGGCCGTCCGCATTGGACCCGTTTCCATTGATGTTGTGGACCTCAAGCGAGTCGTGTCCTCGGTCCTCGGGGATCAATCTGTGGGAAGAGTGCAAGCGATCGTCACAAGAGAAGACAGAAAGGATCTTCTCACAGTGAACGTCGTATACACTCCAGCAACAGAGGAGGAGACCGCGCGGCTGAAGGCAGCGCTTAGAGAAAAGCTAAATGCAGTGCGGCCAATGTTCCGGGAACATGTCGAAAAGGGTCTCATAAACGCGTTACAAATCAAGTTCCTCAAGATGGGCGAACTGGCTGTCAACCCCAGAAGCGGGAAAACTTCTGAAGTCGTGGATCTCCGCTCGACTACAGTGTAGCTAGCTGGGTTCGTCGGTAGTCAAATGTGGCGAATAGCATAAGTCACAAAAGTGGAACTATAATTGTTGTCAACAATAGCTTATTTACCCTATAAGCTAAGCTAAGCCTGGACAGTCCAATTATGCCAATGACAATGATGATTTGTCATACTAAAAACGACGCCGTGAGTGGCAGAGCAGCAACTAACGCCTTATATAGGACCTATAGTATAGGTCACAACATGATTCTAGTACCCGCTAGTGCAACTTTATTGTAGGTAGAACTTTGATTGATGGATACAGTCGCTCTAATCCCCCATAATTGGTCTAGTGCAGTTCGGGCGATACATACTTAATATCACGGTACGTAAAACCCAATACGGGGCACCTCTGACCTGCGCCGGATCTTGATATCTTAATACGGTATAGAATACCCGATAACGCAGAGCAACTACCGAATCTTACTTCACTTCAATCATGGCGCGAGCGACCTTCGGGCGCCGGAACGTCGGCGGCAACAGAGTCGCTGCTGCAGCTGAAACATGTTTCTGCCAAGGGTAGGGTATGTTAAAGTACGTATAGATCTCAATTAATTGAGTGCATATCTGTCGCGTCTATCTCCACTGCCGGCTTGCCCCTGTGATGTCTGTTGCCTTGGGGAAATCCATCCCGGATATGTTGCTGACTTACCCACCGCCACCGGTATTGCCAATTTTGGTCATTTACCCCACTTCGCCTACGCTTTAACAACATCATCTGAATATCAAACATACAGTGTCTGTCTTCTTAACGACTAGATCTTACCTCTTTGACCTATTACTACGTGACTTGTACTATACAATGTATCTCTGAAAGTGAGGGGTAAAAGTAGGTGAGAGGCCATCTTGGCATAAACGGGGTTCAGCTGCAACCAAAGGGATACTACCACAACACGCAAATAGGACCCAGAAGAGTATAACGGGTGAATAATATAAGGAACAAAAGTGGTTCTACATTTGATGTACTGTAATTGTTTCTTACACTCCATGTGACATAAGACGGACCTGTGCGACTCAAGAAACGCTGCCATTGCTTTAACCATTGATTACCTACTTTCGCCAATCTGAAAGACTTTGCCAAGGCTATCTGGGGAGATGAGAGCTGTTATCCCTCTGACCTAGAGGTCGTTTAGTGGATTTGGTTTTCAATATGAGACAACCCGGACTGAATATAGTGTACTAGTTGTGCTGTACGACGAAATGTCTCGTTGTCGATTTGCTGATACCACTTTACTCGGAAGACAGGATCAAACAGCAGAAAATGTCTTGTCATGACTCGGAAACCATGCTTGGATGTGCGGACGGTCTACGGAGTACAGGCAGCTGGATATGGCGCAACTATCAGTAACGTCTGCTCACAAATGACATGTGGAACACTTCTGCAATGTCAAACTTTATGTACGTAGTGTAATACCGCTTTGATCGCAAACGTGCCCGCGCTTGTATATCCCCTAATCGTCAAAAGACGCTTCTAAGAACTTGAAAGAGTCGTTGAAACTCGAACCATAATATCTTACCCCTCTCTGCCTCCGGTTCTCCGTCTTCTTGCATCCCCACAACAACGACCCACGCTACGTGTCTCCAAGTCGCGAAACGTCCGAGACCTATGTCAAGACTCTTGGCAGCTTAGCTCCGTATTACCCTGTCCCCTCTTCGTTTCTTCAAGTCGGTATCTGACAGCTAGTAACAGGTGGTGCAAGCCAGCCTGGTTCAATGCGCTTAAGAGTCCCTATATCATACTAAAAACGACGCCGTTAGTGGCAAAGCAGCAACTAACGCCTTATATAGGACCTATATAGGTCACAACACACCCCCCCAGACTAAGCAGAGATGCTTAATCTGGTTGACACCCCTAATCTAAGTAGAGCATTGTACTTAGTCAGAGTTGACAGGGGGAAGCGACACCCTTTGGCCTACTAGCCTATAATAGGAATTGAACCCTAGGTATTAAAATACTGCTAGACTAGGCTACACGTAGGAATTAAACCCACAAGGTCTATGACGCTTAGACGCTAGACTCTAGGGCTATACTATACTGGCACTAGAGCAAACTAGGCTTATAACTGTCATACTAAAAACGACGCTGTTAGTGGTAAAGCAGCAACTAACGCCTTATATAGGACCTATATAGGTCACAACACCCTACTACAATGACTCTCATCAAAGATTCCAGGCGTACGTGCGCCACTACGTGGACACCTACCTTCTCCCCCATGCGCAGGAATGGGAGGCGGCTGGCGAAGCGCCTCTTACGGCAAGACTGAAGTTCGCCAAGTCCGGACTGGCGTTCCTTGATGTCCCCAGAGAGTATCGGCCCGAGGATATGATGACCGTTGCGGGTATCCCTTTTGAGGATCTCGATGTCTTTCGCGAGCTGATCTTGATGGACGAAATGGCTGGGATTCCTAGTGGAGTTCCCCTGACACTGGCCGGGGCGTCAAATGTGGGTGCCCCGCCCATTTTCACTGCGGGTACAACGGAGCAGAAGAGACGATGGCTTCCAGGGCTCTTCACATGGGAGACCAGCTTCTGTCTTGCCATCACGGAACCGACGGCTGGAAGTGATGTAAGTGCGTTCCGCACGACTGCAAAGAAAAACCCCTGATGGAGTCCACTACGTCGTCAATGGCTGCAAAAAATGGGTTACAGGTGCACCGTGGGCAACACACATGACTACCGCAGTCCGAATGGGAGAGAAAGGGCAAGGAGACATCTCGCTCCTGGTCGTGCCTCTGACCTTGCCTGGCGTTACAATCAGGAAGATCCACAACTCTGGTCACAACGCCGGCGGTTCTTCGTGGGTGATTCTAGAAGATGTCAAGGTTCCGGTCGACCATTTACTGGGAAGAGAGAACGAAGGATTCCCCATCATCATGCGCAACTTTGACAAAGAGCGTTTCATTCTCACGGCTGACTGCAACAGGCAGGCCCGCCTTTGTCTTTCAGAGGCTTTGCAACACGCACATGACCGAGAGACTTTCGGAAAGACCCTGGCCTCTCACCAAATCATCCGGCACAAGCTTATAACGCTTGCGCGCGAAATTGAAGGGCACTGGGCATGGCTGGAGCAAATCGCCTATCACGTCAAGGTTCATGGGTGGCAAACAAAAGATATCGCGAGTAGGATCGCACTGGCAAAGATCCAGGGGGGCAGAATTGTCGAACAAGCCGTTAGGGAGTCTCAGCAGATACACGGCGGTATAGGCTACGAAAGGGGGATGACCATGACAGAGCAGATCTCCAGGGATCTGCGCCTGAAAGTCATTGGCGGTGGAAGTGAGGAAATCCTAACTGATCTTGCCTGGCGTGAGGAGCACAAGCGGGCGAACGATCAATCGTCCAAACTCTAAACGGCCGAAGAACCCGGCAAAAATTGAGTGGAAGGACTGGGCGGGGACAGAAACGAAAAGGGAGCTTGACATTTTTTTGTCGTTTGAATCATTGGTCGTCTTCATGAACTAAGTCAGCTATATGCATAATGTGCTCTGCTTTAGTGCGATAAGGTTTTCGGCATGGAGCGAAATCATCGCCCCAATGACTCTTCGTGTCATTGTCATTGGCTCCTCTAAGATCTCTACAGACCAGGTTGCAGCTAATAGTGAGAGGTATCCACAAAGGGGCATCAAAAGTCAATTATACAAGTGTCGTTCGCATTGGGGATGAAATCAATCTAACTAGTGTGGTCTCGATTGGTCTTTGAGCCGCCTCGGATATTGCCGTAGCCCCCACACCCCAATCATCCGGCAACCATCCGGCAACCATCTCCTCTGACAATTAACATATTGACTGTTCAAGTTCCATGTTCACTTCACCCACAAGCTGTCAACTTCCCTGCTATGGCTTCCAACAGCGTCGAAGTACATCCTGAATACAAGCATTTTGCTTCCATTCCGTGGTGTGCCAAGATACTTGCGGCATTTTCCTCCCCCTACCACGTCGTCCACGTCTCTCAGAACAGAACGGTCCTCCCGACAAGAGAGAACCAGTACGTGGGTGGTACACTCAACACCGCGGACACCATCACTGCTTGGCTGGTCTTGCACCCGCGGCCCCAAGCACCGGACTGGAAAGTCGACGAGTTATGTTCACTCGTCACTTTCAACTATGGCATGATCGGTTTTCCGGGCACAGCGCATGGCGGGGCCATAGCTCTGGTCTTGGATGAGGTTACGGGTATACATGTTGTCGCACAGAGGCCCGAAGGAGCTGAACCAAACAAAGACTTCAGAACGGGTTACCTTAACACGTCGTTCTACAAACCGGTTCCGGCTCCCGGGACGGTGCTTGTGAGGTCTAGGGTTGTTAAGGTAGAGGGTCGGAAGCACTACGTCACTGCCCAGATGGAGGGCGAGCATGGTGACGTGTTGGCGAAAGCGGAAGTGCTGTATATTTCAATTAGGAACAAACTCTGATGGTTCAACTTCAATACTGCTTGGAGCAATACATGTAGATCGAATGGTTTCCGAAGTCGTTGGATGATTAAGCTTCCGTTGCCTTTCGAATATGTGCACTTGTGATAACTTACACGAAAGAATAGATAATCATCAAACCCTCCCTACTTCCACTACATGGACTTTGCTAAGCCTCAAGAAGTCAAGAGTTCTCTGTATACACGATACTACCGAGAGTAATGTAGCATTGACGCGAGCAGTGGCAATCTAAGTACCATAGACTGGAAAAGACGGCGGCATTCTCGCCAATTTCGACCCTTCAGTCGATCGGAAATCCTGCTCCTTATACCATAGATGAGCATCTACGGCACGTTCCTTCACCTTATAGAACACGAAAGCCGGCTTCGGTAACAAGTCATAGACACTTTGAGCATAGTCCGGCGCGATGTTGTACAGCTGTGCGAGATATTTCTCCTAAGAAATGTCAGTATCTAGATGCTTGCGTAATTGACAGCCGTTTCATTTACCTGGATCTCGGAATATCTCACAAACTTCAGGTACTTGGCAGTGTTTGAGGCAGTGTTCTCCCGCTGTTGATCAGTCATTGTCTTGGCCCAAAGCTGGGTCGCCCGCTCGTAGTCGTTCTTCTTTCCCTCGTGCCAGTAGTGGCTCTTCCTGCTGACGATTTTGTCGTTCACGACATAAGGCGTCTCTGCAACGTCCGGCCGGAACTTGTGTGCGAAGCTGTTGGGCGCATATTGCTTGTTATCAGCGTGGTTCGCGTCCGTCCGCATCCGGCCGTCGAAGTTAAGAGAGACGTATGATTTGGCCATGAATGGGCAGTTGACGGGAATCTGATGCAAGATGACCCCGATTCCGTGGTACTGAGCGTCGCGGTAGAAGAACATTCGAAACTGGAGCAACGGGTCAGGGGAGCCCTCAATGCCTGGCACCATGCTCCCGGGCGAAAATGCCGCCTGCTCAACATCGCGATGAAAGTTCTCTGGGTTCTCGTTGAGCACCAATCGACCAAACTCTTGCATGGGGAACTCGTCTCTCGGCCACACCTTGGTGACGTCGAACGGATCGAAACCAAGCACGTCGGGATCGGCGTCTTGAGGCTGCATGACCTGCGCATGCGCAGTCCACTCAATCTCTTCGCCATTCTCAGTCACCTCCCAAAGGTCTCGCTTTGAATAGTCCGGGTCCTCTCCGCACATTTGAACCGCTTCGGGGTCAGTGAACTGCTTCTGACCATGTTTGGCGAGAAAGTGGTACTTGACGTACACAAACTTTCCGTCCTTATTCACCCACTTGAAGGTGTAACAGCCGTATCCATGATTAAGTCTCCAGCCAACCGGTGTGCCGTGATCACTGAAGAACATGAGGCCCGCATGATTGGCCTCGGGGGTATTAGCCAGCAAGTCAAACAGAGCATCCCAGTCAAAGAAGAAGTTTTTTGGATTGCGCCATTGAGAGCGGATGACGTCCGGACCTTGAATAGGGTCTCGCAAAAGAACACAGGCTGTGCAAGTCAGCAGGTCATTTACGATATGACATAATGGGCTATCAACTCACGAAGTTCAAGCCAGCAATGTCACAGTTGCCTTCCATAGTGTAAAACTTGATGGCAAACCCACGCGGGTTGCGAGCCTCATCAGGGAACTCACATCCCAGAGTGACGGTGGAGAAACGAACGAAGACAGGCGTCTTCTCGCCGACTGATGACATAAAGTCGGCTGTCTGTAGTTTTATCCCGAGTTAGTCGGTTGCCTTGAAAGAGAGCGCAGTACTTCCTCAGAGTGTCTTAAAGCTATGTCGGCAACGTTTTTAGTGCACTCGAAGTAGCCGAATGCTCCAGATCCGCACGGGTGGACCATGCCTACGAACCAGTCAGAAAGTCAAACTTGTGGCTCTGTTATAGTATCCAAAATGCCAGTTGCTAGGACGTACGCTCAAGGTTCTTGGATCGATTGAAAGTCTGCTGCTTCCTGACCTAGTTAGGATATTACGAAGTAGGTCGCGTTACCCGTGGTGTACTCACTGAAAGAGAAATACATCACTCGCGACGGGGATTCCACCAATGGTCTTGCTATGCGCTCTAGTAAATCGCTTTAGTATCATGTATGGTACTTGGAGTTGGGCTGGTACTCACGGATCAGGGAATGGTAATCCTTCGTTATTGGTGAAGTACGCTCCATCGTCTTCTCGCTTCCCGCCTGGCACTGCGCCTGATACCGTACAAATGATGTCCGCAGGTCCCTCATTGGCACTTTGCATGTGGCTCATACGAGGCGCTCGACGTTCTCCCTGAGCCTGAGAGCCAACGGCCATGGCAGTGGCTCTCAGTGGGTGCTGAAAGGGAACGACCTGGTTTGTATTGATATTCATCGTGGAAGAAAATTGATGTCAAGAGAGCTGCTTTGGGGTTCTGCTCGTGACCTTGAATTGGGACGAATGAGGGTGATTTGGGAGTTTCTTAACGAAATTTCCCTACTTTATAATAGCCAAATGTTTTGCAGGGTAACCTGAACTTCGACAACATGGAACAAGCGCATTCACGGGGAATCTGGTCCGCATATCAAACGTCTGATAAGCCATGGTCTTGGCAAGTAGTGAATAAGCCATTTGCAGCAGAGAGAAATGATATTCGTGGATTTCAGTGTCATCACTAACTCGACTTTCTACCCAGCGTAATGTCATGATACTGCCATTGACTTTACAGCCTATTTGACGCAAATCCAACGCATCTCTCGACCAATGAAAAGTGTGGTTTATGTCAGTAGCTGTAACTCCGGAGTAAGACATCTGTTTCCTCGGACGCGGGGTCACCGCCATTCACATTCACTATTACACACGTAAGTGGTAATTCATGGCTGAGACATAAGCAAGACCGACTTCCAGTGCCAAGACGGCCAAGGCCCAACTGCAAGACTGTACATTTAGGTGAGAGGATTATGGCTCCCCGGCACTAGAGCTCATGCTTGATCCAGGATAGAGAGCCTTGCAGCGATCTGAATATCTATGTGTGCTGTATCTATGAATCACACTGATTGGCATCCCTAGTCCTGATCTGGGTCGAGTAGTGATTCATCACTTACTGTCAAGTTGGACATTAGATCCACAAGGTCTGGGGCTTTTGCAAGGGTTCATCAGCTACGAATTGTATCGAGCATTCCTGTTGCTTGAAGTCCACTTGGGGGTATGAGAAACAGTATCGACGCCTATTTTGGTTTTGTCAAGACTACTCATGAACTTTGCAGAATAATATAGGTCGTCAGTTCTTTTCTTCGGCTTCATTATGGAGAGCAGTCAAGCAATAAATTGTATTTTTATGGCCTGACCATCGCTAAAGTACAGCAAATCGTATCACCTTAGAACATCGGAAGATACATCACCTTTTTTTTCTTTCTCTCTTTAAGAGATGGCAGATAGATCCCTAGTTATTATCATACCTGAATAATTCGAAAACGGCCGCGAATGCCCGGCTTGTCTACTGCGTAGAGAGAATCTGAGAGAGCTTTCTTTGGAATATACATGACGGGCCTTTGGTTTGACCCAAGAACATTCAGAGAATATTCCGAGATGGAGATTGCGGATTCCGGATAAGAAACCGGCTGCACGACTGTGTTCCGGCTATATTTGTGGGTCACCAGCCGGTCGGCGCCGGTGGCTCGATGCGGCAAGACCCACCTGCCGGTCCTCGGCGATTGGCCTGTGCTTAAATCCGTCAATTGCCACTTTCTTCCCTTTCGTTGACATCACGAAGCCCATCCATCGCGCCATTCGCGACAATTCCTCGCTTCTTCCCAGCTATGCTCGCCCACCCAACATCTGCGGAAGCCTGGCATCTCAAGTATGGCGACTAAGTTTACAAGGACTCCCTTCTTGTGCGGCCGCTGCCTGCGATCTAACGGGCGCGCCAACATCCGAATCCTAACAACTCCCCGCCGACTTTATTCCTCCGACCGATCGTCCGAAGATGCCGAAGCTTCGCCACCCGACCACAGCAAAGATGAGCCGCCAAAGGAGAAGGGGGCCATGTCGCGCAGGCTCGAGGAAGCTACCGAGGAGGCTCTGTTCACCGGCGGTCGCGCCGGCCGTCGAGCTGTGGAAGACGCCGGCTTCTCCGAGGAACTGAGGGAGAGGCTGCTCGACAAGGTACAGACGGCCCAGTTCCGATCGAAATACGCCTCTGCTTTCGCTGAGGCCTCGATGCCCGCTGCAGCAGGCGAGGGTACAAGGTCCATGGCCACCGCCCAGCCCTGGACGGGCGAGGAGTCGCAGTCGGATACGGTCCTGCGCATGCTCGACGACGCCAGGAAACCGCTCAGGCCCGAGATGCGGGGCAAGTTTCATATACCACCGGTCGATATGCGGATACGGAAAGAGCCCAAAGCCAGCCCGGGTCAGCGCGCTGCCGACGCCCGCGAGCGAGCGAGTACCTACACCGGGATGGGCCTGAAGGAGGGAAGCGGGCTGAGCGCAAAGGAGCGCGAGGAGATGCGGCAGGAGTTCCGCGAAAGGTTCGCTGCGGCCGCTCGAGCGGTGCCGGCCAGCATTTCCGGGATCGAATCCTTGGCCAACGAGAGGATCGAGGACGCCATCGCTCGCGGACAGTTCAAAAATATACCCCGCGGCAAGGGAATCGAGCGTGACACGAGAGCGGACAACCCATTCATCGACACGACCGAATACATCATGAACAAGATGATCAAGAGGCAGGAGATCGTTCCGCCGTGGATCGAGAAGCAGCAGGAGCTGGCAAAGACCGCCGGCGTGTTCAGGGCGAGGCTGCGCAACGACTGGCGGAGGCACGTGGCGAGGATGATCTCGTCGAGGGGCGGTAGCTTGGAGGAGCAGATGCAGCGGGCCGAGGACTACGCCCGGGCCGAGGAGAGGCACAACCCGCGCAAGAAGAACAGCGACAGCATCTCCGTGTCCAGCAGCACGACAGACGACCCCGTGATGGCCAAGATGCGCCAACAGGCAGCAGCGGAAGCCGGCGACGCGCGAGAACCCGCATCGCAGCCGGTTTCGGAGGAGCCCGCCCGTCCGCCCGTCCAGCCCTTCCGCGACGCGGACTGGCTGGCGGCCGAACGCTCCTACATGACGCTTGCTGTGGAGAACCTCAACGCCATCACGCGGTCGTACAACCTCATGGCGCCGGAGCTCGCCAAGAAGCCGTACTTCTCGCTCGAGCGCGAGATCGCCGCGTGCTACGCCGATGTTGCGCCTCTCGTGGCAGAGACCATCAAGGAGAGGGCGACGAGGCCGACCAAGTCGCTGTTCGACTCGGCGGGGGCAGGCACGAAGACAATCTTCGACCGCTTCGCGAAGGAGGGCACGACGGCCAGGATCTATGATTCGAGGGCCCCTCACTATGGCTTCAGGGAGATGTGGAGAGATCTTTGGAGCTGAAGACGTATCTACATTTGTCCGTCTCGAAGCAGGTATCGATCGCCCGTCCCTCCCCAACCTTTAAGAAGTTGGCAAGGGCCAGAACCAAAGCCGAGGCATGATTGGAGTAGAAAGCTTTTGTATTATGAATGTCGACCCAAAGAATCTTGTTTGTGTGGGGGCCCTAGGCCTTGACTTCTAGGTCAGGGCTATTATCCTGACGGAAGTCGAATCCATGATTCTCAGTGTACTTGATATCCGGCAAAGGTCTTTCATCGCTGCAGACCATTGGGAGGCATTTGGGAAGCCTTACCTATAATTCACATAATGGGAATATGCATTGCTACTTTCCTTGGGCGGGTGGTGCTCAATCTTTCAGTCAAGGCTAGTTAACCCAACTGCTGGAGATCAAACCAGCCCAGCGGACCTATGGGTGCTTAAGCCGGAAGCTTCTACAGCTATTGATGTTTCATGTAGATGTCCATGATAGCGTTGTATGATCTCAGTATAGAGAGAAGACGTGCGTGGTCGACACCCACGCCCATGTGCTGTCCGCGCTACAAGAACACATCACAAGCGCCGCTCGTGTACGGGTTTCGAGGGAACAGGAGCCACGTATCCGCATCTCCTCGGGTTTGGACCCAACATCGCCGTCACAGCCACCCAAAGCGAGTCTTTCACTCCGCGCCAAAGTATCAAACGAGTGCTTGTATTCCGAGAGTCTTATACTATCCCGTCCGGCGCACCGATAATACAGTATCCAATCTTATGTGCACCATCTCAAGCGGCAAAAGAAAACCTACCTGAACGAGCGACTAAAAACACGCATTCTGGCCAAGGAAACATCCAGAAGCCGACAGAAGCGACAGAATCTCAAGCCGGTCGGCGCTACCCCTACCCGCTCACGCCTAGAGCTCGTTCTCCTTTTTACGCGCGTCGATGATGGCCAACGCCTCCTCGGCGGCCTTGACTCCCGACAGAGCCATGGCGCCAAATGTAGGACCTGCGTGAAAGAAAACGTCAGTAAAACCAAAGCCCCGGCCCAGCGAAAGAAACAAAAAGAAGGACAAGAAGAAGGAAGCGCAGCATCGGCTCACCCATGCGGTTGGCGCCGTCGACCTCGGACAGCTCCATGCCGCCGACGATCAGCCCAGGGACGATCTCCCGCGTGCCCTTGACGATGGCGTCCTCGGCGGCCTGCATGTCCAGCCCCCGCATGCCGCCCAGCTGCTCGATCTGCTTCATGCTGACGAGCCGCTTGACGGAGAAGGCGCCGAACGGGCCGTCGTGGCCCGTCGTCGAGATGATGACGGGCGCGTTGATGGTGTTGGGGTCCATGCACGACTGGTCGTCGTGGTGCATCGACACGAGCGTCCAGTTGGTCACGACGCCCGCGACGCGCACCGCGCCCTCGCCCCCGGCCTGCCGGCGCGTGATGAGGTCCTCCACCGTCGTGGCGTTGAAGAGCTTCACGTTGGGGAACTGGAGCACCTTGCTCAGCACCGTCGACGTGAAGAGCGCCGCGTGCCGGACGACGACGAAGTCGCCCTCGTCCTCGTACGGCACGCCGACCTCGTCGAGGAAGATCTCAGCCGGCTTCCGCATCACCATGGCCGAGAAGAGCTGGCCGCCGAGCCAGGCGCCGCCGCCGGGCGCCACGCCCGCCTCGACGATGGCGATGCGCAGGTCTGGCCGCGCCTTGGCGAGCACGTAGGCCGCGCTGAGGCCGCACGAGCCGGCGCCGACGATGACGATGTCCGACTCGGCGTGCGCGTCGAGGTCGGCGAAGTACCGCCGCGTCATGGCCCGCGACACCTGGCTCTCGCGGATCGGCGCGAAGGCGAAGCTGTCCCACTTGCCGAAGAGGTCCTCGACCTTGGCCGGGGCGGCAGCGGCGACATGGCCCTCTGCGGGCTTGGTGGTCTTGCCAGCGGTGTAGGGCACGGCGTAGTTGCTGACGGGGGAGATGGCGGTGGGAGGAGCCATGGTGGTCGTCTTTCGTTCTCTCTCAAGTACTATCTTGAAAGGGGATGTGTATGTTTTGTCTGCTTTTGTTAGGCTGCATGATCCTTTCGCTGGTATTACCCAGATCAAGTTCGAGGCCGTATAATCTCAGCCCACCGTCGTCCTCGGTCGCTGGCCACCCATGGAGAGAGGTGAGGTGGCAGCGACGTCGGCCTCGGGCGGGCACCGGCTCATGCTCTGCTCAAGAGTGTCACATACTTTGAAGTGCACGTGTTTGTTTATACGTGTGTGGCTCGAGTGAAGCCTCCTGTTGGGGTGTCAGTCTGTATACGTCCTGCCACCACGGGGTATAGGGCCTACTATTTTAGTTTGTATCCGCTGAATCTGGTCTTGTGAAAGGTGAGTTGACAAGATACACAGATATTCTGGATTGTTGACGGAAGGGGAATTGCTCGGTTTAAATAGCCAGGTGATAAGGGCAACGCCGCGCAAACTTTACATTATCGCCTGCGGGGTAGGGCACGACGATCTCATACTCTGGCAGATTCTCGTTCTCTCATGCCGCCTCTCCGGCAGCTCATTGGGGGCGGGATCGGTCATGTCGGTTATGCAGCCGTGACCTTAAAACGCAGCTCCGCGCATCGCCCTCAAAGGCCGGTGCGCATGACGTGAAGAGGAAAGATGTGGAGCGGAGGGGTCCGCTCTACACTCGCGAGGTTAAGAGGTTGGAATATCCCCCGCGGGGGTCGTTCTCGAAAGCCGATGTCACCCGCGTCTCCAGCGGCCGGGATCGCATCGCTACCCTCCCCGCCGGAGGACATGCCCCGGGCCGCAAACCCCTCTCCCTCACCCCTTTCCCGACCGACGGGCTTCACCGCAAACCGGACCTGATTCTTGGCCAAGCAGGCGATGTCACGAGTGAAGCAGCAACAGTCAGCTTCGCGTGGTGAGCCGGTCTTCTCCATCACCAGCTCGTCGAAACCCTCCCCAGGCGAGCGTCGGCATCGATGACATGGAAGCTTGTCTTCCCACGCCCCCACCCCCCGGTAAGACCGACCGTAACCTTTCTACCTGCATGTCGCCTGCCTCTCCACAACGGCTTCGCATGACGGCCTGGAATCGCAAGCATAGCCGGTCGCCCTATCACGCCGCCCGGAGTTACTGTAAACGGGTTCCTAAGACGTATCCATCATGTGATAAACACATGGGAAATTCGCGCACCCGAGCGAGATACTATTGGACATGACACATCAATAGCTACACACACACACACACACACACACACACACACACACACACACACACAACTGTCAAAGGCCCAAGGTTCGCTGCAGCAACCCCCCCCCCCCGGGCTCCCCCGCGACGAATCATAAGTCTCTCTCGGAATGGACCACGGACGAGATCTCGTTTATCGGGCCACAAGCGCTAGGACGACATTGGCTGACTGGCCCCGATCGTCTGCTACCAACAAACCTACGAGGATGTTGACACCAAAGGGCGCGTTCACATGGTGGCGCGTTCGCATGGTGCGGGGAGGGGTGGGGGGGTAATTCTCCTCTCTCCTTCGCCGCCTTTTGTCAAGGTGACATGATCTGAGAGTGGACCGAAATCCCGCTGCTCCGGAGACGTTTCGAATCACGTGGCAATGTCTTTTTGTCTCGAGGTTGACCACGTAATTATCATTATTTCAAGGGCAGATGGCACTACCACAGTTGTTGAATATAATGGACGACAATGCTTTGTGTACAACGCAAGTTACTCCTCATATATTCACGTGTTCATGTCACTCTTGGCTACGTAGGCCTGGCAGGCCACTTGTGTGCTGATCGCTAGTGCCAATCATCATCGGCTTGGTTGACTGACTTGTTATTCCTGACGCCTGCTTTTGTTGCTATAAGAGCGATATGGTCCACATTTGGCCACTCATCAACCTCGTGGCCCGCTTCGATATGCTTCAGCTTCTATGCAAGAATCGTCGCTATGGCTTCCACTCGCACTTTCTGGCTTTGACCTCATGCTGAGGAACCCGATCCTTTCCCCACTCTGCGCTGCCAGGAAGAGATCCTGTAACCCCCTAGTGAGAACTGTGTCGGGAGAAAAGGGTGTCATTATTTCGCCTTCTTAGCCGCCCCCTGGGCTTCGAAGAACTTGGCCGGGCCACGGTTGTCGGGGCCGAACTCTTCTCCGGTAGACATGAGCAAAAAGTCGCTTTTACGCGCCCCATCGTCGCTCTGGGCGTCCGACGGCGTCGACGGGCAGCCTTCGCTCGCCTCTGATTCCTCCGCGCAGTTTTCGGACTGGTTGCTGTCGTCGACCAGCGTCTCCCAAAACCGGTGGGCTGGCGTGACGGTCTGCTGGGCGAGTTCCCGCAAAGAATTAACGTGGCCGCGGCTGTACCAGGTAATCAAATACCATCTCCGGGGCGCCAAGTACATGACTTCGGTCCAGAGGACGAACAGCATGAGCGCCACTGGCTCTTTCGCCTGCAAAAGTGAGATGTATTGCTCCGATACCAACGAAGGCCAGATGATGAAATGCTTCCATATCCTAGGGCGGCCCGGTAGTGAAGTTATGTATGTCCTCAGCGCACCGAGAGCTGCTAGGTATACTTCCGTCTCCCCTGCCTGTACGCCTGTTGACTCTGGCCCCAACAGCAAGAATTCCTCGAGCTTGGCGATTTTCAATATCGATGGCCGCAGTAATGTGTCATTGCTATCACGCCAATCATCGGGGTTCACCTGCGCGAGCTTGTTGCGGTTCGGGCTCTTGTACACGTACCTTGTAACCGTGTCGGAGAACCTAGCCGCCACCCGCATCACGGCCAGAGATCTGGCTGGCTCAAAGGTGATGGCTTGTCCCATGATCTTTTCGTCGGCGAAAGGGCGGTAATACCCAAAGATGCCGTTGCACATGGAGAAGACGAACGTTGCGAGCCAGTTGTCCTCATTGATCTGCGGAACGGCGAGTCTGAAGTAGTTGCTCGCTTGGATGGCATGCTTGCAGGCCATGGAGTAATATCGTTTGGCGTCGGGCGGCTCGAGGTAGCAGAGGTGTAGCGCTGCTATGGAGAGCATGCTCTGATGAACGAAAACGTTGCGGGTCGCCAGCTGGGGCACCCATCTTGACCAAACATCACACTTGCGGGGGTCGTTTTGTAAAGAGAAGGTGAACCAGGCCTGGTTCAGGAAATGATGTTTGAGTTCGGCCTCATCCGCGCGGAGCCTCTCGGCGGGTAACGAGGCGTTGAGCGCGTCACACGAGGAGGCATGTGCCGCAACTGTGGCCGCGCGGCGAACTATACTCATGGTGTCACTGGATTTATCTCCCTCATTTTCGCGGTTCAGAGTGTCGGCAAGTAGACCGAGATAGCTGCAATGCTCTTGTCGACGGCGGCAGTTGGCGCAGACAGGCCCAATACAGTCGCACTAGAAACGCAAGACAGTCAGCACCGGCTCCTTGAGATATTGGGAGGGTACGAGTGCTGGAAGGATGTGTCTTGTTCGATTGCCACCCATTCCAACTAGCTGCACGTTGAACCCAATATTCCGGTAACGTTGCAGACAAGCCACCCTGGAGATGAACATGTTCTATTGTGCGTGAATGGTAACCCTATCCGATGCTCACCTTCACGCGACGCTTCTTGCACTGCCGGCACCCGTTCTTTGTTTTCCCATGGTATTGCCTGGAGCCCTTCGGCATTCTATCGATGTAAAAATCGGTTACGCAGCTCTGTGCTCCTTTCTCCTTGAGGCGGGGATCGGCAATCGTTATTCGGCGCGGTGTTCCGAGAAGTAACTAAGCGGAAGAGTGGCCTAGAAAGTTGACCCTTGGTGGGCTTGTAACCTATTTGAAAAGAGTCTATTTAGTTCACTGTACGAAACATCAGGACTTGACGCATGCTTGTCTATGCCAGGGGTGCATGGCCGTCCTGATGCAAACTCAACTATAACGTTCGCACGTCCCTCGCTGTGACAGCACAGTGACAGAAATTCGAGGGGCAATGTGTGAGTGGCGGGGTTTGGCGGAAGATTTGGCCATGTACTTTAAGCATTGCCATATAGATCTCGAAGGGACCTGGTAGCGAGACGTTATTGCTCTTTGGAACGAGTTCGACAACCTATTTGCGCGACACAAGAGACCAGCTGCTGGCCCGAGATTGTTTTTGACTCTGAGATCGGGCTAATGACAGCCTCAAAACAGATGCTCCTAGCTAGGCCAGCCGTTGCTTCGTCTTTCGTTTGGTGGTGGTCTGTTGCTTTACGTCCGTGCTACTACTGGAGCCTACCACGATCGTGTGAACAAGCCAGATCCGATGCAGATGAATTCGTGGAAGAACATCCGAAGTGTACTAGTATATGCCTGCGCATGTCCTACCACAGTATGCTGTAAGAGGGCATCTGCTTGCGTTCAGAGACGAACGCTTCTCGAAGCGCTGGCGACTGGTGGCGGGTTGCCACTTTGTCACCTTGTCGAGTGTTGAGCGTCATCTTGCTGAACATGGCAGTGCTTTTTAGCTTTGAAACGATTCAAGAATGTTTCGCGCCATGGCTTTAAGCTTGGATGTTGTGCATTGACGTGGTGAACCTGCAGCATATCGGTACTCGGTTGATCCTGCCATATGGCTGCCCTGCCTGCGCGTGGGCGAGGCCTCGTATCGGTGGAAGCATACAGCAAAATGGCAGGTCATTGTTGGCGTGAACTCTGCGAAGAAGCCAACTCGTGTTCGGATGGCGTTTTGAAACACCTCTTGGTACGTTGCGCCGTAACTGTTGTGAGGTCTGCATTGGCGATGCCGTGAACGGGCTACCATGCTCGAGCATACAGACAGATTGTTCTCGGTTGCCGATCAGTAACGATGCACCAGGCTAGCGATCCAAGTTTCGAAACGAGCTTCATGTGTTCCTTCAAGCTGTTTGACCCGAAGGATCAGCGACAATGCCGTAGAATGATACGGATATCTGCTGGGATTTGATATGTTACGTGTAGGACTGTTCACCGACGTTAAACACCGAATGGTCATCGTCAGTTCAAAGAAAAGCCACATGAAACCAACCTAGCGGTCAAATTGGTTACACTGAGTGCTACAATCTCGAACGTGGTTCGGCTTTTGCAGCGACAAACTGTTGTGAGCGACGTCGCTAAGTATGATGATACATTTCCAAAGGGATTATATTGGCCGGACCGTCATATATAGACGAACTAATTAGGATTGCTCGATTCGAGCTCGCCGCAAGTTGGTAAAGTTGCTGATGATCGAGGACGTCTAAGCCAGTTTTCGGATGTGTCGTCCGTGGCATGAGACAAGAAGTTTCGCTGTTGGCAGCAACGGACAAAAGTGACTGACATTTAGCATGAGATCATCGACACTGAAGGACTGGGCCAATCTCGAAGCTCCTAAGTTGCACATGCCACCTCAATCTAAATATGCTCTATATTATCGCATAGTGGTGGAGGTAATGGCAGCTTGGATGACTGAACTCCAGATGAAACAACCAGTTGTTATCTTTCCTGAAAGGCGGAGACAGGAACAGGTAGCCACTGAATACTGGCTACATGGTGCCAGAGGTCTGAGATGATCACGACGCCCTACACAGCTAGAAGTAACGCGGCAACGTCAGCCAAGCAGCGAAACAGAAGCATACGGCTCCAGCTTCGTTTGACAGGGTGGCTCCAATTTCCCGAGACAGCCCTTGCCCTTACGGGTATCCTGCTGACTACCAGGGCCTTGGCTTGGATAGACATGAGGATCAAACTATGCAGCGAACTGCATACGAATAAGGCGTTTGAGATGCGTATGACAGTTGTCAGGCAAACAGCCTGAGTTCTCAAGCCAACTCGGTTCAGCATTGAAAAGTTGTCGACGGCGCTTGATAACAGGGTTCCGTTGCACCGAGTACTATCTGGGAGCTAGAGTGGCTGCAGCCGCCAAGTGTTCAGCCCCTGTCAATCTGTCAGTCGATAAGCTGCAGGCCGAAGAGTCTGACATTGACGCGATTGGCAGAAACAAGACTCAGTAGTGGTTGTTGTCGATGGAGCAGATGCAGCGCCATGTCGCACATACGACGCGGATCTGCGGCCATCCACGAGCCGGCAGGGTGATTTGCTTGGAGCGGACGATCCCATGAGACGATCCAGCCAACCATTGACCAAGCCGTCAACGGTTGACGGCAAAACAGAGGTCGGTGTGTCCAGCGTCGATGATGTGATACAAGGATGGAGAGGTGGCACATACATGCACGGGGGTGGAAAGGACAGCGAATGGTGCCTCGACGCGCATGTTGAAGGATGGAGGGCGAAGGGTACGCTGACAATGGACCATTTGTCCAGTCGCAACATTAGCTGCGATTCTTGTTTCGGGCGGTCGGCGGGACAGCAAAACCATGGGCTGCGATGCGCGAGTCTCGCCATGCATGGGGTTTCTTGTTGGTCCAGACACGCGCTTGACTGGGCCGTGAAGAAAGGGAGTGTGGACTGGGGAGGGCCTCGGTACCGTCAAGGGGATTGTTGTCAGGATGTGGCATCGGTGAAGGGTTGAATGTAAGCAGGATGAGTTCGCATCGCCCTTTGCTTCTTCTTCACCGCCCTCTGGGTGCTGGGGTGGACAAGCCCCCCTGCCTTTGGTTGTGTTAGCCTAAAGGACCTCGATCTGGATTGTTTCTTGCTCTTATGGATTTCTCCCTTTTATGGCCGTGGGTCTGGCAGGGGACCCAGATAAATGCAGGTAAAGCAGAATGATGGCATGGGACATCGCGGAGTGAGACGCAGCGTCGTGAAGTTCTGTCATGACATATGGCCCTCGGCGGATGGTGATGTATGTGCCGAGCAGTGGTTGAGAGGTTGCAGCAAAACGACAGCTCATTGCCGGACAGAGCGGAAACCAGAAAGGTAGGAGTGGGGCTGACCGAGAAGCTTTTCCCCCTCCAGCTAACTTCCCTGGAATGACGAGGTAAGAACGAACAAGCAAGCAGTTCGTAATTGAAAGTTGGGGGGCAGGCACACACCGTCGGCAAGCAGGGAACTGCCCCCCTTCCATCCCGGTGGGGAAGAGGGTTTGCAGTGATTCCTTTTTTTCCCCCCTTCAAATCATTATTATTGTCTTTTCCTTTGCTCTCTACCCCCGCTCGCAATAGCGGAAAAGGCATCGATCGGGTACATGCTGCGGGTCACAGTCACAGGTGCATGATCTTTGAGGGGTACCTAGGTATCTAGGTACCTAAGGGAGGTGTGAGAATGTGGGGGACCTTTCAACGGAAAGAGCGAGTGATGACGAGGAGCTGCAAGCGCTCTTCCTTTTTCTTCTTTCCTTTTTTCCTCCCTATTGTTGTTTTTTTGAGCCTGAGTCTTGGCCTCACAACCATTGACAAGATGGAGATTTCAGATTATGCAGATGGAACGGTATTCTTTCTTCTTCTTCTTCCCACGTGAAGCATATAGTGACCAGTGGATGGGTGCGTTCGCGGCCCATCGCAATGTCATCCAGCAATAGACGTCCAGTTGTGTTCTTGATTGCTATATACTCACGTATTGTATGCGTAGTACTAAGATACCTACCTAGGCAGGTACCTGTGTAGGTACGAAGTACATCCTGCAGCCCAATACCAAGGCCCAGCGGTGACCCATGAATGGGGACGGAGGGAAGGAGCAGAAGCCGGCGTGGTTGGGGACCTTGAACCCTGCTTGTGACGGAAGGTAGGGAGCCCTTCGGCCCCTTCCTTGACCGGTCAACACATTGACGCAGGTGCCCAGGTGCAAACACTAAACCCGGCAAGAGGATGAGACGAGAAGGAGGAAAGGAAGGAGGCATACGTAGGTAGTAGGTCCAACGCGCCTTCAAACTAAAAGTAGAGGTAGGCAAGTGCGACGGAGAGTCAGTCGTGCGCGTTAAATGTCAAATGTTGAGTCTTCTTACCAAGTATGACATACATCGTATTACCTACCAACCTACCCACGCCGTCCGTGGAGGTGTAGGTACGTACCGGTACATGGCAACCTCAGACCGGGATCGGGCTCATGCGACGCGCCGCCCGTCCTGCGCCGTGTGCATCGTCGGCTGTTTAGGGCGCGTGTCCCCCAGGCACAAGAAGACTCATATGCGTCATCATTGGTCGCGGGCGGCCTGGGGATGGGGAAGCATCCCAATTAGAGGCGCCCAGGGCAGCCCGGGTACGTATCAGCGACCTCCCGGTCTCCGTCTCGTCTCGTCTCTTCTCTTCTCTTCTCGCTGGTGTCACTCTCTTCACCTCCGTTTGTCAGCGACTGACCGACTGCCTCCTCCAGGGAGCGAATTCCCACCTACCGGTACTTGGGATTCGCATTGCGGTGAAGGACATGGGGAATCTGCGTCCTCCTCTTCCTCCCATCGACAGAGAGAAATCGGCGTCCCATGGTTGATCGCACACAGACAATCATGTGTAACACAGCCCGCCCGCGTCTTGCAGGCAGCGCAAACCGAGAAATGTGCCTTGTCTTCTTCAGCAGAGTGCCACCGAAAAGCACACTTGGGGTCTTGTTCCCCCATCTGCAGGCCGCCCACGAGGGCACCCAGTGGTGGCGGCCGCCGACATGTCATTTATTACCTCGTCGAGCTGGCCAACGCCTCAATAAATCCTGCACCGTACGTACCGGAAGGGCACAAATAGGTAGCCAGCCGCCTTGATTGAATAAGAAAGAGCCGACAGGAAGGAACCTTGGCTCCTATCCCATCGGGCGCGAACGGACCTCACTAACCTAATGTGGATCCCCCTCCACTTTTACCCCAATCTTTCGGAGATACATGACAATACATCGTTTTAGAATGTTATTTTGTTAGCAACCACCACCAATTTCAACATTATCACCAGCATCTTCATTTAAATTGCGATGTCTTCTGCTTTAGATTCCCCTACCTATAGTACTATCTACGTTGAGGTCCTACTAGAGGACCTTTCTATAACCTGCCTAGATAACTGTTGTTTATAGCAGTGCAATAACGCAATAGTCTAGCCTAACAAAGGACCCAGTAGGGCTACTTAGACTATAATGTACTGGTATGTAAAGGTAGAGATTGTTAGTACCTTTGGCATAGGCAAAACGCCATATAAATAGAAGTACTTGAAAACTATTGGCTTTCGGCGTTAATTGCTGTGGCCTGATTTGCTTCTACCCCTCACCGGGGTTAGTGAGGTCCGTTCGCGCCCGATGGGATAGTTTTCTCCCCTCTTTCTCCATTGCTGGCATCACTTTCATCGGGGGGGGGGGGGGGGGGTTCTGTCAGCAACGGGCAGCCGGATGGATAGGGCGGCAAAAACGCAAACAGCCTTGGACAAAATACCACCATATCATCTTCGTGGCCGTATCGACAGGATACTGTGTTTACAGACGAAGCACCGTACTCTGCTACCCCAACTCGCGCGCCTCCATTCCCTCCCCTGTCCATCTTTCTTGCTGCTGATACTCCTTCCTCTCTCCGCGCAATGCAAGTAGATACGTACCCATCGCGCAGAAAGATACGTACCCTCCTCCTAAATGTGTAAATGACTAAATTACTGCATGGGCTGAACCTTTTCCCAACCGTCACACCAAAGAGAAAAAAAAGCTACCCCCAAAGTCGCAGTTGCATCGGTTCAAGCTAGTCGGCCCAGAAACAACAATCAGAGACAGCCCCTCCCGACCCTGGCCTCGGACCTGGAACCGCCCTCCCGCCTGCCATTCGTCTGGGTATCTTTGCCTTTCCATGTCCCGTCACTCTAATGGACGCGGACGTGGACGTGGTCCGTGGCCGCGAACATTGCCCGCCATCCATTGACATCAAGCATATCACCACCACCGTCACCACCACCACGACGCCACACACATCCGTCACCGCCAGCTGGTTCTGCATGTTGTTCTGCAACCCCATTTCTCACGCAGTGACCTGCATGGTGTTTGCTCCCCCTCCTCCCCTCGTCCAAACATGTTGCTGATCAAACCTGGAGGCCATGCTGAATATCCCGTACGCCATGACTGCCGCAAATACCATTTCCTCGTCGTCTTTACGGATACGCACTTTTGACACCGCACCGTCTGTCCCCTGCGTTCATCCGCACCGCACCGCATCGCGCCGCGCCGCGACGCTACCTCGCCCGCTTGTGTTAGTTTATATGCGTTTTGCAGGTGTGTCTCTTTGTGTGCGCACTGCATTTCGACTCCTTCCGCGTCCCACAGAGTCGCCTTCCCCACCCTGCATCCCTCGATCGGATGCTTGTGACGGCGGTGACGGTATCAAACACAAGGTATTAGTCTATTGGCAGCGGACACGCACTAATTAAGACTCTGCGGACCGCTTCTTCCTGCATAAGCTCGGGGACCCCTCGATCGCCCTTTTCTGGGTTGTCGCATCTCTTTGTTCTCCTCGTCGTACTTCAAAGTTCCCTGCTTGTCCTCGACACGATCCGGCCATGTCTCCGGTCTATGCATTTGTCGTAGGGCGCGACGCAAACACTTCTCCCGGTACACATGTACATGGCACTGTTTGTACGTGCGTATGATTCATTACACCTCGTTGTAATTATACCCTCTAACTTCGACTCGGGGGAGGGGACAATGAAATTGCGAGAGGCAGCAGCAATAGCAACGTGAGGAAAAGAAAAACGAGAAGAAAAAGAAAAGGCAAGAGAGTCGATCAGCCTTGACGTTGGATATACGTGGTCCGGACCCCTAAATTCCTTTTCAATTTTTTTTTTCGGGCTTTCCCACCATTCGTATTCATCTCTTCATCGAAACTGCTAAGCCGAAACTCGGAAGGGTCCTTTTCGAGAGCTCTGACCATACAGGTAGGTATCTGTACCTTGGCCGTAAATCCACACCCCGAACCCGACGACACCAGCAACAAACAACAACGTAAAGCACCGACAAACGATTGTCGCATACACGCGCACTCCTGCGCTTTCCCCGTCTCTCCCTCTCTCTTCTTTCTCTCTCTCCAATATACGACCTGCAGAAAAGCATTAGCAGTAGCAGAAGCAACCACTAGCTAGGTCACAAGTCAGGAATACAACAACCATCAGCCAGCTGCCCATCCCCCTCAGGTACGGCGCATCGACATCATCGTTCCCCGTTAATGGGGGACCAGCTGTCTCACTAGCGCGAGCGAACCTCCCCTAGCATCCCTGTCGCTTGCCGGCTGATTTGCGCCCATTTGCCAGCGGCATCCCCAACTTCTGAGAGGTCACGCAGCCCCAAAGTCACTCCTCACCTCCAACACCACCATTACCATCTCCCACACGTACCCAACCCGTTCTCCATCCGTCCATAGTAGCAGTACACATACTTAAACTACGTAGTACTACTATCCGTACTCGGAGGTAATGGTACGTGCAATCTACAATACTCCATAGCGTACAGGGACTCTCGATGTGTACCCATCATACCCACCCACACCAAAAAAAAACATCATAACCCTGTCCAGCCATCCCCGGGCGACGGACTGAGGAAGACCAGGACCAAAGAGGAGGGAGAAAAGGAAAAAAGGAAAAAAAAAAAAAAAAAAGGCCTCTAAAAGAGTGACGGCAAAGCACAAGCAAAGCTGTCACACTGCAATGCCAGGACCCGGCCCAGCCCACCCCAGTCCAGCACCCAACCCGGCAGCCCCACCCAAACAGGACCCGACCAGGGGAATCCAGAATAATTCTTGCGTCCGTGTAACACAACAGTGTGTCGCGATCTTCCTCGGCCTCTCGACCCTTTCCTCTTTTCCTGCTCCCGCTTCTCCTCCTACTCCTCCCTCCCCTTCCTCACCTCCCACCTCTCGCCTCATCTCTCTACCCAACGGTTTTTTGCTGCTCGCATCTACCCTATTCCTCAACTCGCATCTTCGCTCCGCGCGACGACGAGAATCGACGATACCTTCCATTCGCCCGTTCCCCCGGTAAACAATCTCGTCGTTGTTGTTCGGCACACGCATACGCACCCGACTCTGCTCTGCGATAGCCTCCACCGCATCCGCATCCCACTCGTCGTCACCCTGACGCACCACCTCATCACCTAATGTGCAATCCACACCGTGGGCTTTGAGCTAAAAACTCGGCGCGATGGATCCAAGACAGCAGCCGCCACAGCTGCCCTTCTCACGCAACGCTGCCTCGCAGTACAGTCGCTCGCCTTTTCCTCCATCCTCCACCACGACGGCCAACTCGACCCCGAATCAATCGCCCTTCCCCCCCGTATCCCATCCGCATGCCGAGCATCAGCGACGCTCCTCAGAAAACCCCTATTATTCTTCCGGCCCGAGACCCTACTCTCAAGAACCCAACAACGCCGGCCCTCCTCCTTCGTCCGGCCACTCTCGGCACCCGAGTGCATCCTCATTACCCCCCGGTGCGCCTCTGAATCGCAACATGCCTCCTCCGAGCTCGCCTCCACAGCCGGGAAATCCCCCACCGCCGTCGCATCAAATGGGCCATTACGGTCTGCCTGCGCCGAGAGCCCCACCCTTGAGTGTCGGCCACCCGAGCTCGTTCCCCGGCGGCCGTGAGCTCCCCTCTTTGAACTCAATACAAAGGACAGGGAGCACGGGAAGCTCCATGTCGATATCTTCAATGCTGGGAGGGCCACCCCCGGCGAGAGATTCACAGCCGCCCCCGTCGCATTACCATCCGCCCGCCACCTCTGCGAGCTCCGGGCCGACGTTTGCGCCGACGATGCAGGCCTCCCCGAGGATGCACTCTGCCTCCTCCGAGTACCAGCCCTTCCGACGACAGCAAACTCCAGAGCACGCGCGTCCCTACGACCCGAGAGGCAGCGCCGCCGCCTCGCCACAGGGCGCCTATTCCACCACCCCCGAGGTGCAGCGGTATGGCACGCCACAGCAGGGGTATCACCAGCGAGGTCCGTCGGCACCGGACGGCAGAGAAGCGAACCGCATGTCTCAAGGCCCTCCTCCCCCCCGACCCACGAGTCAACCCAAGTCTTTCCAGCAGCAGAACATGCCTCAGCGACCTGTAGATATGGGCCGGAATAACGCACCCGAGGAGATGTATCAACGTCGTGAGGAGGTCCCACGAGGTTCGATGGAATACAATCCGGAAAGGCCAGACTTGAAGCCGATGACTTTCGACGACCGATATCGGGCGGAGAGAGAGCGTCGGGAAGAAATTGAGTTTAGGGAAAGAGAGCGAAGGGAGCGTGCATACTCCGGGGGCGATGGTGGACGTGGGCACCCGACCCCTCAGGGTGAGTATCGGCCGCAGGAGGTACAGAGGGGTCAGCCCCCTCCCTTCACCCGGCCGCCGGATCAGCGTGAACAGGGGCCGTGGCCACCTCGGCAGCAGCAACACCATCAGCAGCCGCAGCAGCAGCAGCAGCAGCAGCAACAACAACAACAGCAACAACATCAGCATCAACAGCAGCAGCAGCAGCAGCAGCAGCAGCAGCAGCAACCGCCGCCACCTTTCGACCAGTCCAGGGTACCGTACGATCCTGCTGGCCTCCATTCTCGACACCACCATGAATACCCTCCCAGCTCTGCGCCCAACTACCCGGGCCAGAGTCATCCTGCTCCCGCTCCTCAGTTCCAGCAACAGCCTCCCCCCAACGACCGATACCCTCCCGGTCCCCCGAATCACCCCCAGCAACCCCCGCAAGGCCAGCCTGGACAGCACCAGCAACAGCAGCCTTTCGATTCCCCCGAGCGGCAAAGGGGCAATCACCTACACCCCCAGGCGCAACCAGCTCCCACGCACCGACGATCCGGCGAAGAAGGCCCCCCTCCTCCATCGGTCGCGTATAACACACCACACGGTCCTCCGATGTACGATTCGCCTCGTAATCGGCCTATGGACGACCATCCCAACAACCATCACCACCACCACCAAAGGAACTTGCTAGCGGTTCAGGAGATCAACCGCAAGGGACGCGTCTCGCCGATGCCGCAAGCTGTTCAGGGAGCGCAGCCACAACTACCGGGCCCTGCGGGAGAGCCGGGTATTAAGAGCGAATTCGGCAGGATGTTTTCAGGAATCGGAAGCGGTGTTACTGGTCTTGGTGTCGGCAGCCCGGTGACCGCAGGAGCTCAGTTGCCCTACACGAACGCAAGCCTTGCCCGACGCGACGAGACAGATAGCGCCGCGCACGAATCCGGCCCCGAGGCTGTGGCACCGAAGCCAAAGGGCAGGAGAAGAAAGCTTAAAGAGGAGGATACGAAAGGGGACGACGAGAGCACGGGCCGGCTGACCCCCGGCGGCAGAGCAAAGCGCCCAAAGACTCATGCACACCATCACCAGTACGTACCGGTTCCCTCAGGCCTGTCAACGACGACTAACGACAGCAGCCACCATCACCACCATCACCACCACCACCACGGCGCCGACCACGCCAACGCCCCTACCCCCGCTCCTGTCGGCATTACGCCATTCAAGAACGTCAAGGGCATCACCCCCATCCCTTCGCCGACCACCGGACCCACGAAGGACCTGCCGGCCGCTCATCACCATCACGTCCCCCGGCCCGCGCACCTGCATACCCACGTGAAGGAAGCGCCCGCCAAGCAGGCTGTGCAGAGCCCGACCAGCATTCTCCCTCCCAAGCCCAAGACGATTGTGACATCTAAGGCCGTCCTTGAAGCGGTCGCTCACCGGCCCCGGACCCACCTAGGAGACGTGCTCTACGAACCGAAGCTCAAGCCCGCGCGGCAAATACCTAACGTTCCTTCCGGCCGTGGCTTTGCCTCGACCCCGACGCCGCTCCCGTGGGATATGATCAAGGACAAGGAGAACTGCACGCTCACCGTCAAGGTGCCGAAAATACACCTCACTCCAATAGCCAGAGAGGAGATCACGGCGCGAAGGGCTTTGTGGGGCACGGATGTCTACACGGACGATTCCGATGTTGTTGCCGCCTGCATTCATGGAGGGTGGATACGAGGAGAATGGGGCGACGACGTGGATACCTCCCTGCTTGACCTCGATCGAGGCCTCTCTGCCCCCGAGAAGGAATTCCCTGCAAGCAAGAGACGCAACAAGGAAAAGGAGAAGGACGAGAAGGCGAGGCTCGAGGCGAACTCGGCCACATACCTGGACCAGCCGCCCAAGACGGGCCCCGTCCACGTGCCTGTCGACCGCGACATGCACGTGAGCATTGTGATTCTCCCACGGCTGGAGAAGTACAGCAGCACTACGCGCTTCGGTCTCCAGTCGCGCGAGTACGGCGGACGGTACAATGGCCGCCAGTCGATCCACGACGGCCTCAGTTTCATGGTGACGGGCATACGCTGGGTCACCAACGGCGCCGGCGCGCAGAGTCGCCTCCGCGGCAAGGGCCGACGAGAGCGCATGCGGAAGGCGATGGGCGAGATGAACGTGGCCAGCCGCGGCCTCAACGGGGCGGCGCTAGAGCGCGAGAAGCAGCGCCTCGACAAGATCCGAGGCGAGATCGTCTCCGGCACGTGGTGGAAGAAGGAGAAGGGCCGCGAGAACGGCGTGGCCGACAAGGAGCACAGCTCGACCGCCGAGGGCGAAAAGGAGAACAGGTCCGGCGACGAGGCTCGCAATGCGACGAGCCCCGCGACTAACGGCGCCACCGCCACGAATGGCGCGTCGGCGGACAAGGCGGACAAAATGGACGTGGACGAGACCGGCAAGGTCGCCGCGGCCGCCAAAGCGTGAAACGTCGAAACGTCGAAACTTTTTTTGTAACGGAAACGTGATGAAACGAACGGGCGTGCAAGAACAAGAGTTGGACAGCGGATGAATATGGACGGATTCTGGAGCAGTAGTTGGGTTTTGTAGGAGTAGCGGTGGTGGTTATAAATACCCATTACACACACTCACAGTCGAGTACATGATGGCCGGAACTTGCACGATCACTCGTGACTGGTATTGGTGACTGGTATCTTGCATTGAATATGGTATGTAATGTACTATACACTGGTGGTGGTACACCTGGCCCTGGCTCCGGCCCTCTTCCTCGCGAGGCCACCTCTTAAACCCATATCTGTAAATGGGGGACATGTTCCGGGTAGCAAACCAGAGACTTCCCTGGGTGAGAACTCCCTCCCCCCTGCGGCGCCAATTTTTTTTCTTTTCTTTTAAAAGTCGGTCACGCGGCCGTTGTAGCTCCAGTCGCCGCCGGCGCCCCAGCGCAGCGGCTCGCGCTTGGGCCCGCCGACCTCGCCGGTGCGGGGGTTGACGTCGCCCTCGAACTCGGGGGGCGCGCCGCGGACGTAGTTGGGGTGCATCGTGTCCTCGTCCGTGGCGGCGACGGTCGGGGTAGGGGTCGTCGCGGGGGACGCCTGGGAGTCCGCGACGGCGGCGTTGACCTGGGCGGAGGCGAGGGGGTCGCTGGAGGGTGTTTGTGTGGACGAGGAGGAGTCGATGGCGGCGGCGGCGGCAGCAGCAGCAGCAGCAGCAGAGGAGGAGGGAGAGGGAGAGTCGTCTTGGACGAGGTGTTGGAAGGCGCTGGAGACGGAGGCCTCGCGCTGGAGGCGCTCGAACTCGGCTTGTTGGTCGGCGGGGAGGCGGGGGGGCGCGGGGCCGCGGGAGAAGGAGGAGGAGAGGCGGGCGGCGGCGGGCGCGCGGTGGATGATGGTTTGGAGGGGGCGGAGGCGGAAGAGGCGGGACATTGTTTTCTTTTTTGTTTTCGGTGTGTTCGAAAGGGGTTGGAGGAGGAGAGGTTCGATACGGGTGTGGTTCGTGGTCGTGGTTGTGGGTGTGGTTATGAAGATGTGTTGGTGGAAAGTTGAAGGAGGCGAAAATGCTCGGGATGGATTGCATCGAAAATGTCATTGACGGACGGGCTCAATCGGGTGGATGGACCCTTGGGTGGAGCGGAAGGGGCCGAGGTCTGCCGCGTGCTTTCCCAACTCTGCGTAGGCTTTAGCTTCGAGCTTGCCTCCTGTGCTGTGCACGGACCGAGTCTTCATTTGGACGTTTAACGTGGTGGAAGATGGATGGCTGGCTTCGTCAACGTCCAGGTTACACACTCCTATTCCCATCAAACAAGTAACTGCTGCAACCTCAGAAACGACTTCTGAACGGCGCTCCCAATACATTTGGCAGCAAGTTGCCCCGAAGAGCTTTTATCACAGTTAGCGATGATACACAAAGTGCTCAGCATGCTATTCCCTCTGGCTGCCCTCAAAAATGGCGTTAGTAACTTGCCAAATGCCAATCACGTCTGGACAACAACCCATGTCTGCGGCACAGCAGACAGCACCACCCATCTATCACATTGCAGCCTTTTCATGACTGGTCAGTTGTCGCTTACGCCGGCCCACGGGCGTTGGAAATGAGACCAGCTGATGGGCATGGCCAACCTCCAGCCTGATTTCTCCAAAAACAACACCTCCTCCCGGCCCTCCAAAGGGTCCTTGAAGGTTCATCTGGTTGCCGCCAAACGTCTGTAGCCTCATCAAAATCACTCAAAACATGTCGAACCCCGAAAACTACACCGTCGGCTGGATCTGCGCCATCACTACCGAGTTTGTCGCAACACAAGCCTTCCTTGACGAGAGGCACGATAAACCTGCGCGTGTTGCCCCTCAAGACAACAATAGCTACGCCCTAGGCAGTCTCAGCGGCCACAATGTAGTCATCGCCGTTCTGCCCCAGGGTGAATACGGCACCAACTCGGCCGCCGTCGTCGCCAGGGACATGTTGCACAGCTTCCCCAACATCCGGGTTGGGTTGATGGTCGGGATTGGAGGCGGCGCTCCGACCCCTGAGCACGATATCCGCCTTGGCGACATCGTCGTCAGTCGCCCGCGCGACGGGAAAAGCGGCGTGTTGCAGTACGACTTCGGCAAGACGATTCAGTCTCAGGCCTTTCAACAGACCGGGTTCCTGAACCAGCCACCGCAGGTCCTACGGACAGCTGTGGCCAGCCTTGAGGCCATGTATGAGGCCGACGGGCATCAGCTTGATGAGCGCATCGACGAGGTTCTCCAGAAAAAGCCGCGCCTTCGGAAGAAGTATTCGCGGCCGCAGTCGAGCAGTGACAGGCTGTACAAGTCAGACATCGTGCACCCTCAGGACACAGACGACGGCTGCAGCCAGGTCTGTGGCAACGAATCTTCGGCCTTGGTGCTACGCCGCAAACGCGACAGAGATGAAGACGATGACCCGGCTATCCACTATGGGCTTGTGGCCTCGGCGAATCAGCTGATGAAGGACGCGCGCGTAAGGGATAAGCTCGCAGAAGAGAATTATGTGCTCTGCTTCGAGATGGAAGCGGCAGGCCTGATGAACCACTTCCCCTGTCTGGTCATTCGTGGTATATGCGACTATTCAGATTCCCACAAGAACAAGGAGTGGCAGGGCTTTGCTGCTATGGCGGCCGCGGCATATGCAAAGGACCTTCTCAACCAGATATCAGTCAGCAGGATCGAAGGCGAGACGAGAATAGAAGAAGTCCTAAAATCACGTTAGTATGCCGACTCTTCATGTTGTCTTGTCTAACTTGTCTAGTGGAAGGGAGCATAAACAATATTGAATCTACTTCAAACCAGATCATTGAAACGGTCAAGTCGATTAGATCTGCTAGCCGCATCGCGCAAATCAAGGATTGGCTCTCGCCTCCGGACACATCCACCAACTTTAATCATGCGCGTAAAGTGCAGCTTGAAGGAACCGGCACGTGGTTTATGAAGAGCGTCGCTTTTGAGGAGTGGCAGCTCGGATCGCGTCGCCATCTATGGCTTCACAGTAAACCGGGATGCGGTAAGACCGTTCTATGTGCCAAGATCCTCCATCATCTCAAAAATACAGAGGGATACGTGGCTCTTGAATTCTTTTTCGATTTCAGCGATACGGCGAAGCAGAATTTGGATGACCTACTCCGTTCACTTATCTTCAAGCTCTACAACCACGGGGGCGAGGCTGTAAATGAACTTGACAGTCTATTCAACTCTTGCCAAAGCCCACAAGGCCAACAACAGCCAGAAACAACGGCACTGGCGAACACTCTTCACGCCATGATGAAACGGTCCAAGAAGATTTACATTGTTCTCGACGCTTTGGACGAATGCACTATGCGAGAAAAACTCCTCGTCTGGATAGAGAATATCGTTTCCAATCCCGATTTTAACCACGTTCAGCTGCTTGCCACCAGCCGACCGGAAGAGGAGTTCCGACGCAGCATTCCCGTCTGGATTGGCGAGGATAGCTGCAAAGAGTTGAACAAGGAGTCTGTCACCATCGACATCATCGCTTATATTGAAGACCGACTACAGCGCAGCCCTGAGTTCAAGAAGTGGACATCTTCTCCATCAGTGCTAGAGAGAATTAGACATGAAGTCGGAAGTAAAGCCGATGGAATGTATGGCTACTGTCCCGAATCATTTCTCCTAAGCGAACTCTTGCTAACATATTAAACAGGTTCCGATGGGCTGCCTGTCAACTTGATAGTCTTGAAGCGTGCTTGGACCGCGAAGGAATCGAAGCAGCTCTCCAAGCTCTGCCCCGAGATCTGAACGAGACCTATAGCCGCATCCTCCAGCAGATTCCACAGCAACGCAAGATGAGAGCGATCCGTCTTCTCCAGTTTCTTGTCCATTCTGACCGACCTTTGCGACTCGAGGAAGCCGTAGATGTGGTGGCCGTCCGGCTTGACAACGGTCAACGGTTTTTTGACGCCGAAGACAGGCTGCCTTGTCCAGCCGATATTATGCGATTCTGCCCAAGCCTGGTGTCCATTACTCGAGTAAGAGTCTCATATTTGCCAGGAGAGGTAGAAGAAGTGCAGCTAGCTCATTTCTCCGTCAAGGAATACCTTATACACTATGGTGTCGAGGGATTTCGTCACGTAGAGGCTAGCATCAGCATCACCCACACGTGCTTGACCTACCTCACCAGTATGGCAAAAGAAGCCATCCGCATCACCCACGCACGTTCAACCAATGTCACCAGCATATCAGAAAAAGAGGAGGAGGAGGAGGTGACAGTTTGCAGAGTCATTACGCAGTGCTTTCCACTGGCAATATATGCTACAGGAGTTTGGATGAATCATGCTAAGCTTGCTGAATGTGTGGACGAAGTTGTGGCGGCGGCAACGGTTAACTTCTTCTGCAACACAACAACACTTGAACAATGGACTCGAGTGTTTCAACCCGACAGGGAAAATCTTACATTTTTAGCGCCACGGTTTCAACGACCAGGATGCACAGAACCATCCTGTCTATATTTCGCATGCCTTGGTGGGCTCACTGAAACTGCAAAGCAGCTGATACTGAAGGGAGCAGATGTCAATACTCAAGGCGGCTTATATGGTAGTGCCCTCTGGGATGCTTGCTTTAGAGGCCACAAAGAGGTTGTCCAGTTGCTCCTCAGTAATGGAGCAGATGTCAACGCCAAGGGCGGCCACCATGGTAATGCCCTCCGGGCTGCTTGCTTTGGAGGCAATATAGAGGTTGTCCAGTTGCTCCTCAGTAATGGAGCAGATGTTAACGATCAAGGCCACCGCTATGGTAGTGCCCTCCAGGCTGCTTCCTATGCAGGCCACATAGAGGTTGTCCAGTTGCTCCTTAGTAATGGAGCATATGTCAACGCTCAAGACAGCGAATATAGTAGTGCCCTTCAGAATGCTTGCTCTAGAGGCCACAAAGAGGTTGTCCAGGTACTTCTCAACACAGGGCAGGTCAGTGTTGATTTGAGAGATAATGGTGGTCGATCAGCGTTATCGTGGGCAGCAGAGAAGGGAAGTAAAGAGGTAGTCCAGATGCTTTTCAACACAGGGCAAGTCGACGTCGATTCAAGAGATAATGATGGTCGATCGACATTATCGTGGGCAGCAGAGAAGGGAAGTAAAGAGATGGTCCAGATGCTTCTCAACACAGGGCAAGTCGGCGTCGACTCGAGAGATAATGATGGTCGATCGACATTATCGTGGGCAGCAGAGAAGGGAAGTAAAGAGATGGTCCAGATGCTTCTCAACACAGGGCAAGTCGACGTCGATTCAAGAGATAATGATGGTCGATCGACATTATCGTGGGCAGCAGAGAAGGGAAGTAAAGAGATGGTCCAGATGCTTCTCAACACAGGGCAAGTCGACGTCGATTCGAGAGATAATGATGGTCGATCGACATTATCGTGGGCAGCTGAAATGGGAAGTAAAGAGGTAGTCCAGATGCTTATCAACACAGGGCAAGTCGACGTCGATTCGAGAGATAATGATGGTCGATCGGTGTTATCGTGGGCGGCCGGAATGGGACAAGAGCTTGTCTTGAAAATGCTTCTTGAGACGCAACTGGACGCCGTGGCAGCGGGCAAGAACGAGCTGAGCCAACCAGCCTGCCTCTCTGACAACAGGCAAGCCCGGGATATTCACGAACAAGCATTGGACTCATTCTCTGCACCGTCAAACAAGAATGCTGTTCCAAGTTGGGTTCTAACGAATGGTGTTGACATCAACTCAAAAGACAATGCCGGTGCTACGCCTATTATGTGGGCTGCGAGATACGGCGAAGTGGATGCGGTTCGTCTATTATTGTCACAAGAAAGTATAGATCCCGACTCTTGCGACAACCACGGGAGTACACCGCTCTCTTGGGCCGCTAAAGGTTATTTTTGGGCCCCTGAAGAACGCCACGAGAAGATCGTATCGCTTCTCGTCGCGAGCAAAAGAATTGACATCAATTCACGAGACCGGGATGGCTACACGCCGTTGATGTGGGCACTATGGCGTTCCAGCAGTCGCGTGGCGGAGTTGCTGGTTCAAGCTGGGAGTGGTTTGTCGGATACATGCAAAGCCACGTTGGCTTTTGAGGCTTTCTTGTGGAAAGACGCAGACGAGCACGATCAGCTCATGGACTCCATTGGCTATCCCGACTTCCATGATCTCTTAGGGCTGCGGAGATTGTTTTGCGACTCCTGCGATGAGTGAGGGATCGAAGACAGGCGGGCCTGGCAAGATATCTGTCGATGGGCGAGATGTTTCTACCTGTAGAAGAAAACCTTGAAGTTTGAAGTTTGGAGCATGGCTTACGCAACTGTTCTTTCTACCAGGCTTTTGTTCTTCTGGCGCTGGGGGATGCAGGAGCACCGAGAGGCATCCCTTGATGGCCGTTGACCCCTTCCTTGATAGCATGTAGCACTACCCGTCGTCGCGGTACGCGACGAGAGGGGCCCCTCGCTGCCGTGCCGCCTGAATGGGCTGTATATGAAGGCCAAAGGGAGAGGCAAGGACCGGAGGACGGAAAGGGCGTGGGAGACGGTCCTCTGGCGGGTCGTTGCCGGGTTGGTCCTCACGATGGGGGGATGAAGAAAGGGGGGGGGGGTGGGGGGCTTATGGTTCCTCAAGAGGCCGAGACCATTAGAGATCTGCAGAACCGACTGTGAAAGATCGATCCTGATGCTTCTGTTCTGGGATGTATACCAAGCCATGCAAGCGAGCGGGCCAGCCAGAACCACAAGATGACGGACACAGCCGTCCCTTTCCCTTCGCATCTCCACACCCCCTTCACGTCCATACCTCCCGTGAGAGTAGTCAGTCAAATAAATTGAAGTGGTATTCCTTGATATATTCTTTATTATCCCCCTTCTGCTTCAGTGATATGCCCCCCCCTTCCACGCTGTCTAACAATTGCTTTTACACTTCGCGTCCACGAATGCGTTGTAGTTGTGGAGGCCGTGAGGAAAAGGGGAGCGAACCCCTTTATTCTCTATCTATATATGGTAGTACAGTTATTAGAAATCCTCTTTTCCACTTCTTCATCCACCCACCGAGGTATCAAGTTTCGACAAAAAAGGGGGAAACCCTAGTATTAAAAAAAGAAGCCAAGTATGCTGTTGCTGTTGGATGATGATCATTTTCGTCGTTTCGACGGTGCTGGGTTTCGTTGGGGAGTGTTCATCTCCCTCTCGTACCCTTCCATCCGATATATATATATATATGTGTGTGTGTGTGTATTCCCATGGTTTGAATACCTGGGACCGCATGGCCTAGATGTGGCCCTTTGCCACGACCTCCCGCTGCACCTCAATCTCCCCGCTGTCGGCGGTGAAGCGCCTCTCGAGCACCCACCGCGTCTCGCCGCCCTCTTCCTCCTCCTTGACATACGAGATACTGTCTGCAGACCCCTTGTGCTTGTGTCCCATGCCGGGTTGCCGCTGTTCCTGCTGTTGCGGCTGTGGCTGCTGCGGTGTGGTGGGGTCGGTCCGGGGCACCAGGTTCGGGTGCACGTCGGCGTCGGGGCTCTTCATCCACAGGCCCGAGTGGGATATGCTGTTGGAGATGGACATCTCGTCCATCTCGTCCGTCTCGGGCACCGGGTCGAACCCGGCGGCGCTGTGCGTGAAGTGGGGCGATGCGATGGTCACCGCGGGGCTCTGGTTGAGCGACGGCAGCGGAGGGGGCGGGGACCCGACGGTCGTCGGCATGGACATGGTCATGGTGGGGGAGCCCGCGGTGCTGCCGGCGTCCGACGAGTCCATGTCGCGGCTGCGGATGGAGAAGGACGAGTTCTTGCGGGCGTGGCCGTGGATTCCCAGCATGTTGTTGTTGCCGTTGGGCCCGGGGCCCCAGGGCGAGCTTCCCCCCTCGCCTCTCTCGGACCGGGGCGAGCCCTCGCGGGACGAGACCAGGCTGGCCTGCGACCCGCCCCACGCCCGCGAGCGCAGCCTCATGAGCGCCGATATGCTCATGTTCTCGTCGCCGTCGGCCATCATGGCAAGCTGCGCCAGGCCCGGGCTCTGGAGGCTCGAGGGGCCAGACCCGATAGGAGGCACGGCGAGGCTCATGATCGAGTTACGGTTGGAGTACTCGGACCGTTCCGTGATGGGTGTGAGGTTGGGCTCGCGCGACACGATCCTGCCGGACTTGCTGCGAGACACGCCCGACGGCCCGAAGAACCCGCCGTTGGCGTACTCGAACGGCTTCTCGTCCGAGCCGTTCGAGCTGTCTCTGCTGTGGCGGCCGCCTTCGATGGGGGCGGAGTAGAACCCGAACTCCTGGCCGTACCAACCGTCCGAGTCGTTGGCAAGGGCACTAGCGTTCGCCTCGGCAATGAAGTCGTCGTAGTCCACGTCGTAGTCGTCGAGGTCATCGCGAAACCCGCCGTCGTCATAGTCGTCGTAGTTGTCGCCGTAGTTGTCGCCGTAGTTGTCGCCGTAGCTGTCTTCCCCGTGTGATACGCTGTGCGAGGACTCGCCGCCGGGCGACATGATCTCGCTCGGAGGCGGTGAGGAGTCTCGTCGAAACCGACCGTTGGCGGCTGCCTCAAAGGCAGCGGCAGCCAGAGCCGTCTGGTACGCCTCGACCTTGTCCGGCCCGGTCGTCGAGAAACTCGACGTCATGGCGGAGGATTCCTGGCCCTGGGCCAGGACGTCGCTGGCCCGCTTTGAGTCTTTGACAGAAGGGGCTGGCATGCTGACGCTCAGAGACGTGTGGCCTGTTGACTGCGACATATTTGACTGGGCAGAAAGCTGCGACGTGCTGTCGGAGATCCTCTTGCTGCTCTCCGGGGCGTCGCCATCTTGAGCGTTGTTGTTCAGGGTGCTGTTGTCATGTGTGACGCTTTCTTGTGCGCTGTTTTCGGGAGCGGCGGCAGCAGCAGCAGCAGCAGCTCGAGCAGCTTGAGCAGCGGCAAACGCGCCGGGAATGGGCCGTCCGTATTGATCTGTGTCATCCAGGTCAAAGATGGATTCGTCAAAGTGGGAGCCGTCGCCCTCTCCGGCGAACTCTAGTTCGTCCAGAAGACCGTTATCAAAGTAGAGGTCATCCTTGCTTGGAGGTGCGGGGGGAGGAGGCGCCAGCTGCTGGGTCTGCTCGTACACCGGTTCGTCCTGCAGTTCTGGGCTAGCAATATCCAGACCCTCAATGGCAAGTCCAGCAATCGGACCCGTAGTCGCCGGCGACGGATCGTGGCCCGGAGACAGACCTGGCGTCCAGACGGGCCTCGAGATTTCATCGAGGTTGGGCGATCCCGAGTAAGCGAACCCAATCACCCTGCCGTCGGCATCCCTCGGCGTCGAAACCAGACCGGCGCTGTGAGGGCTAGCCAACGCCGATGGAGGGTTCGATCGCTGGAAGACGAAGCCAGCAAAGTTCTCCTGGTCGTTGTCGGGGTCGTCTTCGGCATCGTCGGCAGCCTCGACCTCAACCTCAGGCACCGTGTCCAGGCCTGTCCCGGCCGCGTTGAAGTCCTCCTCGGCATCTCCGCCCAGAGGGTCGGTGCCTCCAGCATCAAAGTCCTCCTCATAGCCGTAGTCGTCCTCAAAATCGTTGCTCATCGGGATTGGCTCCTCGAACCCGTCATCCTCCATCATCGCGTCGTAGTCAAAGTCCTCGTCGAAGTCGTCGAACCTGGAATCGCGGTTCTGGCTCGGCTCGGGGTCGGATGTCTTCCTCTCCAGCTCGCGCTGACGATGGCGCTCCTCGAGGAGCTTCTCCTGCTTTGCGGCACCCGCCATGTCGAAGCTGAACCTCGAGGACGTGCTCTTCATGTGACGGGGCACCGAGGATAGGATATCCTGGCCGGACATGGAGACGTGCCTCGAGGGGGGTGCTCTTGTGGAGGGCGCCCTTTTCGACATAAACGAGGCGGCCCCGACAGACGCCTTCTTCGAGATGACGGAGGCGGAGCTGGAGGACGGAGTACTATCGTTTTTGAACGGGACATCAGGGAGCGGCTTCGAGTCCAGGTTTATACTGCTTCTTGCCTTGACCGAACCGCTGCCGGATTCAGGCATCGGCTGTGAGATGATGCTGGCAGAACCTGATCGGCCAGATTCAGAAGCACTACTCGCGTTCCTCCCGTTATGGGACGCCTGCGCTTGTGAGGGCGCGCTGCTCTCCCTCGACGACGTCAAGCCCAGGTCCAGGTCCAGCTTCTCTTCGGACGTCGGCGGCCGCGACTTGAACACGGAGGACAGAGACGTCGAAGCCGGGGCGGGGCTTGAGCCTTCGTTGTTCGGGAGGCTGCGTCTCGGGCGGGGAGCACTGAAGTCGTGAACGCGCGTGCCCCGGATGCGGGGATCGTAGGTGGGTTCGGCCAGCCTGTTTCCTCCGAGCGGCAGAGGCGTCAGGTCGGGGGCGTTCTGGCTCGTCTTCCTCCTCGCCAGCAGCGTCGACATGGGGTTTTTCAGGAAAGGCAGGCCTTTCCTGCCCTTGGGGGCGTCGGCGTTGTGGTTCGCCAGGCGGACGGGTTCGCTGGACAGTCTCGTTCCGGCAGGACGGCGGCCGACGGTAGCCTTATCTGGAAGCTGTGGCGAGCTCTGGGGGTGGGCGTGGTGTTGGAGCTCTGTTGGGGTCGTGAAGGAGCTGGAGTGCTTCGACGACTTCGTGGGCTGTGGCGGGGGTCTCGCGGCCGGAGAGCCGGTAACTATTGGCGGCGGGGCGGGTTTCGATTTTGTGAATGGGTTTTCATGGCTGGCGCGGGCTGCAGGGGAGAGGCCAGCCGAGTCGGGCGATCTGGCCGCCATTTGCTGTTGCTGCTGCTGCTTGAGCTGCTGCTCGCGCTCGTACTTGCGCAGGGCGACGCCGCCAAGGAAGCCGGAATCGGGGTTGTAGGTAGAGCGTGCGGAGGGAGGAGCAGGCGGCGGCGGGTGAAGTCTCTGGACAGCGGGCTCTTGCGCCACTGTCGCATCGGGAGTCGGTCGATCGAGGGTGGATTCGGAGCCGGAGGAGGTGACGCGGGTAATTGGCGGCAGGGTGGGAGGGAGAGAGGAATTCGGCGAGGTCGAGGGCTGGGGTCGCATGCCTGGGCTTAAGGCGGCATCTTGAAGGAAGGGAGAGTGCTGCTGGTGCTGGGGAAGCGAGGGATCCCAGGGAGAGAGCTGGTCGGGGTTTGGCGAGGTGGGATTCGACTGGCCGCGTCGGTGGATTCGAAGGTGAGAAAACATGGCAACGGAATCGGGTTTCCGTGATCGTGTCTGGTAAGGGAG